GGGAATTGGGGGAAGGGGAACAGACAAGCTGCTGTTGTTTTTTGTTCTTCAATCTAGTTGTGGAGACGTCGCTTAACTGGCCCAAGTTGGCATCATCATTGCGCTCTTCCCGGGCAGATCAGTCGCCAGCTTCTGGACAGCCGCTCACTGTGGCTGCTGGCTATACACGGTAGCCCATGGCAACCCACCGCCACAGGGGCTGCAGCCTACGCCGTCGCCAGCCACTCACGGCAGCCCAGCTCCAGGTTGAGCTGTTGTTCAGCATCTTAGCTGTGGAGGGCAGCGTCACTGGTCCTCATATTTGGGATCTGAATCAGGACCCTCTGGCGTCCCAAGCCAGTTCTTAACCATCGCGCCACTCGGCCGGCCCGGAACTGAGGCTTTGGAGGAGGCTGTCCAGACAGAGGAAACGGCAAAGGCTGGAGGCAGAGGCATGTTTGCAGTTCTCTGAGAACCACAAGACCAATGTGGCTGATTGGAAAGCAAAGGGACTGGGAGGAAGTTCTGGTGTGGGGTGGGGGCGGGCGAGGAGAGAGGTGTTGGCACACCACACAGGGCTAGGGCTTTTAGCTATAGTAGGAGATTCACGTTTATTCTGAGATGGGAAGCCAGTGGAAATATTGAGATGTGACATTATGGGACATGTTTTTAAAGGAGAATTCTTGGTGTAGTGTGGAGATCTGAAGGAGGCACCAGGGTAGAAGCAGCCTTATGTCGTATTCTTAGAGCCTCCCCCAACTAGATGTATTACCATATTTGCAGCTACCATGTTTCCCCAAAAAATAAGACCGGGTCTTATATTAATTTTTGCTCCAACAATCTACACGTATTCATTTATTCATGTACAAAAATCTACATTTACTCAAACAGTCATGTCTGGCTGACGATCTTAACTGGGGCTTATGTTTGGGGTAGGGCTTATATTACGAGCATCCTGAAAAATCATGCTAGGGCTTATTTTCCAGTTAGGTCTTCTTTTGGGGGAAACACGGTAGTATTTGCTGAGGTCATATGTGCCAGCCATTACATACCATTTAATCCTCGAAACAAAATTTCCAAGCAGCTATTAAAAATAGGAGGCAAAACAAAAAAAGACTCGGGCAAGGACAAGTGGCTTGTTCACAATAAAGAGCTGATAAATGGAGAAATTACAAAATCTGCCAGATACTAAAGCAGTTTCTTCCACAACACACAACATACCCTTCCCGAGTCAATAAATTTTGTATCAGAACTTTTTACCACTCAAGTCTTTGCACATTTTACCCTCTGCCTGATATATCCTTCCAATTTCTTTCATGGCAAACTTTTTCATTTTCCTACATCAACTCAAATATTCCCTTCTGAGTAAAATTATTCCTGATTTTTTCCCAGGCCACTTAGCTGCACCATCTTCTGTGCCTTTGTAACAGTTGCTCCGTCTTCATTTCCCGGAAACAATACTTACCTGGTTGTAACTGTTCCCATTTCTGTATTCCCACCATTGAGTTCTTATTCGTCATCACCTCTTCCACCCCTACATTCCCTTCTCCCCCATCCAATTCCACGCATATTTACCACAGTGCCAGGGGCCAAATAAGTGCTAGGTAAATGGAGTAGTACATTTTTTTTCTTTTTAAGATTTTATTGGGGAATTGGGAGAGGGGAACAGCACTGGGGAATCAGGAAAGGGGAACAGACAAGTTGCTGTCCTTTTGTTCTTTAGTCTAGTTGTGAAGGACGTTGCTTCACTGGCCCATGTTGGTATTACCATTGCGCTCTTCCCGGCTGAGACAGACTGGTTGCTGGCCATTGGACGACCGCTTATGTCGGCCCACGGCAACTCATGCCAGCTGCCAGTCACTCATGCTGGCTGCTGGCTACACACGGTAGCTTATGGCAGCCCACAGCCTAACGCTGCCTCCAGCGACTCACAGCAGCCCAGCTCCAGGTCGAGCTGTTGTTCACCATCTTAGCTGTAGAGGGTGCAGCAACACTGGCCCTCATGTGGGATCCAAACCGGGGCCCTGCTGCTCAGAGCCGACACCCCAAGCCAGCTCTTAACCAATGCACCACTCGGCCGGCCCTGGAGTAGTAAATTATTAAATAAAATGTAAAGTCCCATTTTACTCCATGCATTTTGGACATCTGGTGCTACATTTTTAAGAGATGAAAACCACTCACCAAAAAAGAAAAATGAGGTGATGTTTATAATGAAGGGAATCTTTTCGCGATGTGCTGTATATCAAATCATCATGATATACACTTTAAATATCCTACAGTTTTGTCCATTATACCTCAACCAACCTGAAAAAAATTAGCTACAGGTTAACAATAAGAAAAAATAAAGTGGATGAATGTTAACTAGGCTTACTGTGGTGATCATTTCACCATATATACAACTATCAAGTTATTATGTTGTACACCTGAAACTAATATGTCAATTATATCTCAATTTAAAAAAAAAGAAAAAACAAAACAAAGTGTATACTCTAGTTTTGCTATTATGTAGGGCTCTGGATCATCTGTACAATAAACATGGACATTTAAACACCAAAACATCAAAAGCCAGAGAGAATCCAGAAAGTGAGACAAGAATGAAAAAACATTAAGACTTTGTCCAAAGAAATAATTTAGATGCTAGAACCACTTAACCTGAAAGATGGAAGGAGCATTGCTCTTGTTGGTTTCAATATTAGGAAGACTGAAATGTGCATGTGAGATGGTCTTGAAAAGCAAAATTAAGAGCAATATGTAGAAGACACAGAAAAGCAAACTGTGGCTTAACTGAGGCAAAAATTAACCCACAAAACAAAGCATTTCAATTGCAGGAAACATTCCATTTCTAGAAACTTTCCTATTAAAGCAAATGGCCACCCTGATGAAAAGCAATAGAAGGAATGTACCCTCTCTCTGATATTCTGATTCAGAGTATCATTCATATAATTCCAGAACACTTATGTCTCAGGCTCCTAGTTCAGAACTATTTTCTTTTACAGTTATTGAATTCCTTAGATTTTGAAAATGGCCCAAAGCTTCTCACTGTGCCTGTTATCCAAGCGACCTGGCGTTTTTGGTACCTTAACTTTATTCCCACTTCCTGGTTTGGACAAGCTATGTAATATGCTGCAAAACAGGGACGGTAGTCGTAGACAGGTGAGGCATTTTGTGTTTCCCTGAGGATGTTCTCTCCCACCAAAACCTTTCCAGAATCTCATCAGTTTCTGTGCCAGTTACCAACTTATAGTCTCTCAGCTCCAAATTTACCTTGAAGGGGCTCTCCTGCTTTCTGGCAGCGGCACCATCAGGAAACAAGGTGGGTATAAAGTGAACTTATTTTGAGTATGCAAGTCAGAAATCGAGTCAGAATTCCAGAATGTATGGCTCTACTTGGCACCTCACAGACCAGACCCAGGCTGGTGATCACCTTCTTTCCATCTAACACAATGCCTCGTGCTCCAAGTATCCTGCCAACCCTATGACTGCTCACTCCCTCTGCATGCCCACAGTCACCAGCTGCAGCTTCTCTGAACCCCAGAGGGTGGCTTCCTGATTGCCTAGTGACTAACGACCAACTTTGGTCTGGGCAAACCAGTAAAACCTTGGATTGCAAGTAATGTGTTTTGCGAGTGTTTCACAAGACGACCAGACATTTCTAATACATTTTAATGTGGTAAATGAGCGATGTCTTGCAATGCAAGTAGTTTGTTTCTGGAATTATGCTCGCAAACCAACATATTACTGTACATTTCTCTGCCATCCAGTGGGCTGCAGCTACTGCGTCTTCAACAAGGTCTGAACCCAAATCTGAGGACTCCTCTGCCAAGTTTGTCCTTCCTTAGATAATGTCCCTCAGCTCAAGGGTACCATATCGAGTTCTCTTATATCTTCTCTTTTGTCAGTTTAAAACTTTTATATGAAACTTCCCTTGTTGCATTTCCCATCAAGGCTGGCTCAAAGAAGCAACACAATGAAAACCAGCCAACTGAAAGCTTTCCTAGACTTAGTTCTAGGTCTGTAAGATAGTTTATATCTGATGAAATGCAAAATATACAAAAGTTCAAAAATCTTAAAAGTTTTGAGGGCTCGAGGGGCTAGAAAGTTTACAGCTAAGTCATCCAAAATGCTTACACAAATGTTGATCTTATTTGATAAATAGCAGCAACAGCAAAAAATAACTATTCCAAAAATAAAACAAGAAACATAATAGCTAAATGAATGATAGGGGAAGGAAAAAGGAAAGCCAACCTACCAGAGTTTGGAAGGTTAGAATATTTGAAAAAGGATATACAGGATTGGGTCAAAGCTTTAAAAAAATTTTTTTAAATGGCAGAGTAAGCTTTAGATAACCAAATGAAAGAAAAGTGAGTGTTTCAAGTATGGGAAATAATACGCACAAAGATGAGAATATACCTAGAAAGTTTGGGAGAAACTGAGTAAAGCAATTTAGCTACAGCAAATTTTCTGAAACAAACCAATAAGGTGACAGGGGTAGTATATGACAATGTCTTGCCAAGACCAGTCAGCCTGTCTTCAGTGGAAGGACTCAAAGTGAGGGAGGAATGTTTTAGGTTGAAATAGATATTAGTAGTAAAATGGACTACTCTCAATTAAAGTGATGAAAGATATATGTTATTGCATTTGTTATATTCTGATAAAAACTGCTACACTGTGAGAGGTTGTTACACAGACAGGTCGGGTCTAGGGTAAGGACAATATAGAGTAAACTGGGAGGGTAAAAGGCTAAGATTTTTTTGTTCAAGAAAGGAAAATGCTCTTAACCATAGATGACTACAAAGAAGCAAAGACAGGGAGCAGAGAAGTAGAAAAGGAAGAATTTCAAATATCATTATCATAAGAAAAATATCTGACCATATAATCTGCTATACACATGTTCAGGTTTAGGCCTAGGTTGACCCTAATTATTATATGACAGGCACTACAACCTAACACAACATAATCATGTATGAAACATCCAATTGATAGGGGAATATAATGATACACACTCTCACATTTGAAGAAACTTCAGTTGTTCAGAAAATATCAATTTTATTGGCTTTTTGGCTTCTTTTGTCTCCTTTTCATGCTACTTGATCTTTGACTAGTTCACTTTATGTAACACTTCCAGCAAATAGGTTTTGAGACACAGTGAAAAGTGCAACAGGAAAAATGAAACAAAACTTCAAATCTGTAAGTGATTTCATGTATTCGACACATAGGTGGGAGGAAAGGAATCTTTTCATGATTCATCTTCAGGCAACATTTTGGTACAACTATATGTAATTTTGGTATAACTATACATTATCATAAACATTAATTACAAAATATAAAAAGTCCATTTATAAATTTCAACAAGAAATAACATAACAAGAGAGACCTAAACTCAAACAAACCCAAGAAGTCAGAATTCCTCAATTTGGTCAGAAATCTTTATGAAGCTGAAATAAATTTTCAAAGAAAAAACTAAAAGTAGAGTTCTTTTTGATAATAAAAAAATACCCTTGAGTTTTGAATTTTCACATATACGTCACACTTTTTTCCCTTGGTATCAAATACTTTTTGGAATTAGGTTTGTTAAATTTGTTTCATACTCAAATTAAAATTTTAAATCTTATGAAATGTTCTCATTTTTTTCTATTTTTCAATATACCTAAAAAGGATAGAATTTTATATTGACAATGCAATTTTTAAAATATAATTGCTCTCATTATCTGCTCTAAATTCCCAACTCAGCAGTGTCAATACTGTAATCTCCTTTTTTTCCCTTTGGAAATCACAAAATAAAAGATACTGAAATATTTAACCTTTAATTAAATCAATTCTTTAATTTCTCGAACATTTGTCATTTAGGTTTTTTTCCTTAGTGGTCTCTACATATTTTTTTTAAAAAAGGTTGGAATTAATCATTTGAAAAGTTTATTCCCTTTTTAGGTAAAAGACTGAAGGTCTATATTTACCAATAGGAAAATACTCCTTCGGTGAATATAATCAAGTTTCTTAAAACATTAGTTTTAACCAATTTTTAGAGCAGGCTTGTCTTCTTTAGTACGGAGATATGTTCTTGCAAATGGGGGCACTAAACAAATGGGTGCTCTTCAGAGCCATTACAGCATGATGGTCCCTTTGGAGATGCTTTCTAAGTATATTACATATTATATCTGATCAACATATAATAGGTAACTAGAAATTTATTTCCTGATCTTTATCTTCTCTGCCTTCTTTAGAATTTGTCTAATAGTAGGTTTCACTAAGCCTGGATAGCATGATCAACCCAGATCCACCTAATATTTGCCCACTTAAGTAAAATCTGCATTTTTAACAGCTAGCCTTATTTTAATCATCAAAGTAAAGTCTTGTTTGATTATATGCAAACTATTAGCTGTAAAGCAGAAGACCATAATCAGAAAATAGAATGTCACTGGCAGAAACACCTCCACAGAGTAAATAAACAAAACAAACTTATTGTAGTGACTCTCAAACTGGACAAAACAGTGTGACAACTCTGACTCACTGTCCAAAAAAAGAACAGTTTCACTCTACATTTTTTGACATGTAAGTTCTATAATAAAGGTCTCATATAGTGCTTTCAATTTGGAGGGGGGGAAAAGCAAATTCTTTGACCCAATGTACTTAGAAATTCCTATTAGTGTTGCTTTCTGATTTCCCATATTCATTTTCTTTAAGTTTAGTTATAAAATTTCATAAAGCCATTGGCCACTGATCTCCTAGTTTTTACTAGTTTGAGCTAACCCCAAAATTAAAATCTGGGAAATAATCTAATATTAAAACATTAAATTCTCAAAAATCCCTCCCCCCAAAATATTTTGTAAAATGTTGTTATAAAAAAAATAAAAATATTTTTATTATCTTACAGAAAATAAAAATCAAGGCATTAATTATTTGAGTTTCTCAAGGATTTCACATCATAAAACAATATTCCTTTTAGCACTGAACCACCCCATTATTATCTGAAAATATATCTTAAATATTTGATGCATGAAACTTTACATATTCTATATGAATAAGGTATACCATAACAATTTTGATATTCCTTTAAGCTCCTCAAAAGTGGATGCTAACTGTATCAAAAGTCTATTTCACTTAAGAGATTTTGGAGACACCAGTGAGAGTTTCTTGATGATCCAGAACCAGATGATAAAACGACGAGGATGCTGAAGGTTAAGTCCATGTGAGCGTCAATAACAGAAATCATCCATCTTTGGATATTAGACATTTGCTGGCCTGAAGTCCAGTCAGACTGTAGGACATGGTGTAGGTCCTTCCAGTTCACATTCTGGTACTTTGGCACAAAATGAGGACAGGTCACAAAACCTACAGATATTTTCAAGTTTGTTTGTTTTTTAAATGTATAATACTTGAACCAATCAGAATAATGTATGTCTTATAATTACTTTGTCAGTTTAAGCAATACGAAAAAAATACATTTTTGTTCTGTGGTGACTATTTGTTGGTTAGACTTTTATTTTCCTCTTCACATTTTCGGTGACTGTTTCCCACTGGTATCATCAACCAGGTCTCTCAGGCGAGATAAATGGTGCAAAGCCCTTCATTAAAAAGTATAAAACACATTATAAACCAATATTAAGTACTGAATAGGCAATGCAGATAGAAAAGTGATTACATTATTTTCAAAATTAGTATGAAGAATGAATTTATAGAATAATTTAAGTATCAAACTTGGAGAATTTTTCTTTATAAAACCTTGAGATCTGAATAATTGAGGGTTAAAATAATTCATCTAAAATTCTATAAACATTTACTTTAAAAACTATATTTTTGACATTCAAGGTTCTTAAGTTTGCCAAGTAAGTTCAATAAGGAATAATAGGTATCATTTGTATCATATTTAACAATTTTTCATGTAATTTTCACAACAGGTCTGTGAAATGATACCTTTTCTTTTGGTATACTGTGTATATCATTTAAGAAATAAAGTACATAATTTGTATTTAACACGTACATTGAAGATAGCAAAATTTAAAAAATAGCACTAAAGGATCAGTTACAGTTCTGAGGAAATTGAACATGGAGAAAACAAATGACAATTATGTTGAATAATGTAGTATGGTAACAACTACCTGTTTTTTCTCTAAAATAAATCTAAAATTTTAAATCAGGTATCAGTGGAGAAAACTCAATCATCCCTCAAACAAACCGGGTAGAGAGAGTCCCTTGACTTTCCAGTCTTCCTCTAAAAACATTGTTCCAATTTCTCCTCTTCCCTATCCTACAATCCTTCAGGCCACTCAGAAAATGTCAATCAAACATATTTCAGATCTCTAATCAGAGACCAAGAATAACAGAAGTAATGTAGCAATGTGTGCAATAATCTCTAATGGTTAATTTCTAAAGTAAGCTGAAAGGTGGTAATTACAATACCCTATTCTAACACAGATTCAATAAATGTATATTAAATAAAATACACCTTTCACTTTACCGAAGATAAAGAGATGGAGAAAACTATTGTAGTAGTGCTAATTACTGCATTATATCTATTTTCCATTTCTCTTTCTTGGACACTTTTATTCAAATGTAATAAGAGAAGAATCTGGATTCTGCCACTCTTTTGGCAACTTCAATTAATTTTTGAGATTCTCATCTCCACTAAATAAATGATAATAACTCACCCAAAGTTACTAAGTAATCAGAGGTATAACTATTATAACTAGACGCTATCCTTTCTACATCCTACAGTAATATCTCTCTACCTAAAGAATGATCTTCTTCATAGAGATACACAGTTATGAGAAAAAAGATAATTTGTAAATATACTTGGAAACGTATCTTCCTTTTTCTTTTCAGGCTTGTTATTTAGCGACCTATGATTCAAGAGAAAGAAAAAGGCAAGTGGCTAGGATCTTATCTTAGTGTTTACAACTCCAAGGAGCCACAGAGCCCTTGGATTTAGAGGGTCTATGAAACTGAATGAGTGGAAAAAATCCTCATCTTTATTTTCAGTAAATGCTATCTGTAAATTAGCATTTCCTTCCATTATGATGTAATCAACAGACCAAAATCTGTGACCTCATATGCCATAGAACTCAGAGATATTTTCATATCACATTATATTCATTGCAGGAATCTCAAAATTCTTTTATGCTTATCACTACTTATTCAATAGCTCAAAATTATAATAGTTATTAAACCCATTGCTAGAACATATGTAACCTAAGTCTTTCTGTCTACAGTCCAAAAGTTTATATGACATAACTGGCCAACTATCAGACAACTTTAAGCCTAGTTATTCATCCACTGAATAGTGAGGTCTCACTGGTGACTCAGACATCAATTCTTTCCAATATTCCCTTTTTCTAATTGTCTGCTGATCAACATATGAAAGGTAAGTAAAAGCTCACGCCATGGTTTAATGTTTTTATTCAAGCTATAAAAGGCCTTCATACAAATTATGTTTTCACAAAATAAACTTAAAATTACATGTATCTTAAATGTATTGTCTCAGTTTAAATGGATTAATAACCACATATTACTAATCAGAAATTTACTTTAATATTTTCATAACTATAATTCAATATAACTAGTTTCCTTTTTAATACTATGTAGTTTATTTTATGCCTTTAAAAAACAATGTCAGGGAGAAAGGTGAGAAGGGGGGGGGCAGGTGTGGTATGATGGGAAGGAATATAGAAGCTAAGCAGAAATGAAACCTCAGTCCCCCTGCCTCGCTACACAATCAGCTGGATGTTCCTTTCATTTAACCTTTACCTGCCTTGCTGAAAATAAAACAATGTACTTAGAGAACAGGCTTCAAAAGTGACTGCTATTTCAAAGATATGTGTAGGGAGAAGTGGAGAATAAAATTGTAGAAAGAAATTGTTCTTGATTTTCTTCTCTAAAAAAGCGAAAAAACAGGATAATGGGGGAAACATCAATTTAAGGGTTATGCTGCAACACTGATTAGTTCTTCTCCTTAAAAACTGAAATAAAAGAAACTCATTTCTTATTGTGACAATGTATCTATTGATGATCATTAGAGTAAATACAAATCAGCCCACAGAAACTCGATAATAGACCGATTATATGAAGGCAATTGAAGCTATATTTTAATTTACTCTTTGATATTCTGCCTTTGGTTTCGTATTAGTACTACTACTATACTGACTACTCTCTTTAAATACTGTTTACTGGTCTATATTCAGCTTAGTGTCCAGGAAGAACTGAATGAAAGGCTTTTTAGAACAAACTGCCTATCACTCTACTAAGCAAAGTCTGAGTACATTAGAACAAAGAAAAATCTTTGCTTTATGATGTTTTGCAAGTCTGAGAGGCAATTTTATCTATCTCTACTATAGAATGAAGACCAGAAAATTGAGCAAGAAGAGAACTGATAGAAAGGGCAACTTTTTAGCTATAAAAGTTTTGTCTTCACAGCATAGCCTTTAGAATTGAGAATTACAAAATCTTAGACATTCATTTCCAAATTATATATACAACAACATATCACAAAGCCAAATACAAATTATTTTTGGATGATTTTGCAATCGTCTATTATTGCTCACCTTTGTGGTATATGAGCTATACACTACTGCTCATTTTTCAAACCAGCCTGGAATGATGGCTTACATGAAATAATAAAAGATTCTAGAAAAGACCCTTGCTCAAAAACTACATTTTTTTTCATATGCTTAAAGATGACGAATTTCTTTTATGGAGGTTTCAGTTAATCATTTTTATTGAGTTTTTAATATATAAATGCATAAAACAAAACTAAGTATTATAGAGATGCAGAACAATTACAATTTTGATTCCTACTAAAAGCAAAATCCCTCTGGAAAAAATAACATTTTAAGCTGCTATCAGTCATTTATACTTAAGGTCCAATGAAGTATAGAGAACAGTTATTTTTAATGGGAGAATGTAAGAAACCTGAAGTGTCCAAGGGAGTAAACAGAACTCATAATGACAGCTTGGAGTTTCCCAACGGTAATGAAAGATATTTTAAAACTGGCTAGAAACAAACTGTTAGAAACAAAAACTGTCATTTGCGAAATGGGGAGAGACATAATAGGACTTTCACCCTAGGAAAGGTCATTAAAGCATTTAAGGTACAATCTAACTTTTGAAGAAGCTGAGTCTATTTTAAAATATGAAAAGGTGATCATAAACCTACCCAGAAAGAGGAATTTTGCAGTCTAGAAAGAGGACTTGTGAGACTGACTTTAAATTGTCCTTTACAAAATAATGAAAAAATGTACTAACATGCATTTGTAAACCTAAACTTACTTTGTAACAGTACAAATGCCTTAATTGATAATTGAAATGTAAAGTAAAAGCCAAGTTAGGATCGCTTCAGCTAATCTAACAGAATCAATGCTAAAAGTCATCTAACAAAATATGAATCTTCCTGTCTAAAATGGCATTCTATACATAGGCAAGATAACTGATTGTCTAAACTAGAAAAAAAAGTTACTACTATTAAAAAATTCTGGCAAATGGTAAGAGCACCTACAATCAATATCGATTTTTTTTTGGACATTTAATTACATAAGGCCCAATGTTCATTTTCACCAAGAAAAACATCTTTCAGGATATGTACTTTAACACAGAAAACACATTTAAGTCTGTGATACAAGTTCAGTATCAATGCTTTTTAAAAGCCATTGAAAGCTTGAGGTGATCTACTTTAAATTTTATAGCAGAATGAGATTTTTATCCTAGATAATCAACTGAGGCTCTGCACCCAGTCTAAATGGATAATGCACCACTACCATTAAAAAGTGTTAGCAAAACAGGTTATAGAATCAGCCTGTCTGGTTTGAATCCCAGTGCTACCTATTACTAGCTATCGTATTTTGCCATGTATAACGCACTCCCGTGTATAATGCACACCCACATTTTTGGCCCAAACTTTCAGGGGAAAAAAATCTTTCTTTTTAATTTTCCAAGGGATTTTCCATAACCTTTAAAAATATATCAGCTAGATTGCTAGCTCCCGGCTAAAGTGTACGAAGAGAAATGTCGCGCTGTTCTCCCTATGGTAATAAAGTCAGCATCACCTATCTTATCAAGTCAGTCACTTACTCTGTGGACAACACGCAGCTCTTTGTTTCACTCTGCTGAATCGTTGGCCGAAATTACTTTCATTGCAAGTTCATCATAAATTCAGTGAAAGTGATTATTGTAGTCCAGGGTATTATTTTGCATACAGATATCGTTATTGATTTCTAGAGTTACACTTTTAACACATAAGCATAAATAATTAAAAACATTTATATAGATATGGAATTAGTACTACCCATGTATAATGTGCATCCTTATTCATCCCTCACGAATTTGGGCAAAAAAGTGCACATTATACACGGCAAAATACGATATGTAAACCTTGCAAAAGTTACTTTATTACTTGATTGTTCTTTATTACTTGATCTGTATTATAAAGATAATAGTATACTTATTTCATAGGGTTAAGAGCACATGAATTACATTAAAAACCACTTAGAACACTGACACTTGGTAAATATTCAATAAATGCTATTATCATTATTTACTGAATCCTACTAGGTATGGGACACTATACCCAACCACTATGGCAAACTATGCATTATTTCTACCCAGAAGAATATAAACTAAGTTGTGAGGGGAAAATCATACAGGTATATAGTTTTTAAACTATGAAACTATATATATGTATGCATATGCATATATCATGACAATAAGTCATAAGTTTACATGTCTAGTGTTTCACTTTTCCATTGCTTCCTTAGTTAACAGAATTCTAAGCAAATTCTGAAAGGACAAAAAGGTAGACGTGATTTGTTCAGTCTCACTTACAGCCAAGTGAAATGGTGTTACAAAAATAAAAAATTTTAATCTTAGCATTTCCTAAGCTCAACACACCATCTTCTGAGGGAATCTCAAATTCACACAACCAAACCCATAATACACCTTCCCTTCTGCCAATAGGGAAAGACTTGTATACTTCCCCATTTTTTAACTTAAGATAATGTAACTAAGAAATAGGTGGATTAACACCCTTAGGGCATTAAGATCTATCCTTATATCCAGGATATGATACCTAGTTTAGATTTCTGTGGCAAAATGTCAAATAATGATATACTTATGATTATTATATTATTCTAGAGGAAATATATGAAAACACATTTCATGAACAAGTTGTTCTTCCAGGATATCCACTACAATACTATTTCAAATTATTGCTATTGTTCAGAAATGAAGAGAATTTCTTTAGGCCATTCACATTCATTATATTTTAGGTGTCTAAGGTTATCTTATTAGGTCCTAAGAACATTTTAAATAGGAAAGAGCACAGGTTTAAGAGAAAACTTCAATGATCTGTTTCAAGAAGCTTGAATATATTAAATATACCTACTATATCCTTAGAACTACTTAATTCCATCTTGTAACCTTCTGATTTCAATCAAAGGGGTAGCTAAAATGAATTTGTGTCCATAATATATTCAGAAATTAGTAGAGAATACTTACTTTTGAAGTGACCTCGTAATAGGAACCATGCTTTCCTTCAATTGTAATTTAGAGAAATCATCTTCTAAAACCTATTATTAAAAATACCAAATACAACAAATATTGAAAATATTATATAACTATAAACTTAAATGCTATTTAATGTGATTTAAAAGAATGTTAAAAAATATCATCTTCATTTCCAAGGAAACAATTGTAGCAAATAATTTTCAGTAAAGCAGTAAATATTTTTATTTTCTCTTTCTTCTAAAAATACAACTACTATTTAGATTCATCTTTCAATCATCCCGAAGTATGCTTCTGAATGTCAAAAAATCAAATCTTGATTTAAAATTATGACTTTACTGAACTAGGTTATGTTTCAATAATGTTTAAAAAGAAGGATGGATTACATGCTGTATGTTAATGTTATGATCTTTAGAATGTAAGAAAAATAAAGAACTACATCTCAAATGAGCAGGCTATGATAGTTCCCAAGAGCTGACCCACTCATTTGCAATAAAAATTGAATTTCGTAAAACTCTACTGAATGACAGTAACAAAACAATAAAAACATTTAGTAAGTGGGCTGGCCGAGTGGTGCGCTGGTTAAGAGTTGGCTTGGGACACCAGCTCTGAGCAGTAGGGCTTCGGTTCGGATCCCACATGAGGGCCAGTGATGCTGTGCCCTCTACAGCTAAGATGCTGAACAACAGCTCAACCTGGAGCTGGGCTGCCGTTGAGTCGCCAGCGACGGCGCAGGCTGCAGTGGGGTGGCAGTGGACTGCTGTGAGCTACCGTGAGTGGCTGGCAGCCAAGCGTGAATGGCCCGCAGCTGCCATGAGCTGCCAAGAGTCGCCATGAGCAGCCGTCCAATGGCCAGCAAGCAACTGCCTCACCCGGAGAGAGCGCAATGATAATACCAACATGGGCCAGTGAAGCAACGTCCTCCACAACTAGACTAAAGAACAAAAGGATAGCAACTTGTCTATTCCCCTCCCCTAATTCCCCAATAAAATCTTTTTTAAAAAAACCATTTAGTATTTTTAAAGTATTATTTTTAAATAACTTAGTATTGTTATTTAAGTTTTAGTAAGTTTTTATTAGAAAATAATTATTTTAATAAGATATTTATTAAGTTTTTATCAGGTACAAGCACTATAATAAGCACTTTATATAATTTATCTCAATTTCTCAACAACCTCGTTTTACAGAAAAGAAAATTGAAACTAAAGAGGTACAAATATTGCACTTGCCAGTAAGTGGCAGAATTATTGGGTTGTCAGAAAAGTCATGATGTATTTTTTCTCTGTTTTTCATTGCAAAAATGCGCCATGACTTTCCCAACAACCCAACAGAATTTACAGTCGGACTTGAGAGAATATAAACTCTATATTCATGAACACTATACTAATGTGAAGAAAATTAAATCCCTACAGAATAGCAGTCCAAAGCAGAAAGATTTCCAAATTCCTAGGAAGTATACAAAAATACAATGGTTTTAAGATAAAACTTTACATAACTATATTCAGAAGTCAATAAACACCTGGTAACAAAATTTAATTTCCGATGACAAAGGTATATGGAGAAGTCTATTATTGAAAAGGTTTTCCAGATCGCCCCAATTACAAATGTTAGATTACATAGAATAATTCTGTAGAACATTAAAAAGCAACTCGTACGATCCTTTCATACTACAGTTGTAATATCATATATCTATTTTATTTTAATTTTATTATTATTATTATTATTATTTTTAGCTGAGCCATCCTGCCACCTGTTGGCAGCTCAGCTGCAGCTCAGCTCAGGCCGGGACTCAAACCACTGTTGCTCAGAGCTCGTACTCTTGAGCGAGCTCTTAACCAACTGAGCCACTCAGCCGGCTCATCATATCTAAAAAAGATGTTGTATTTATAACCATAAACTAAATAAAATAATCCATTCAGGAGTATGTAACTACAGAAACCTAACACTATTCAATTTGAGTAAAATAGTACAATTTTTCTTAATTCTGAGAAAAATAGTACAACTCTACAGCATGTGTTATGTGGCATGCTTATTAACATAAAAATAGAAATCAAACTAAAAAAGATCTAGAAAAAAATCTTATCTCTTCACAATCTCAATTCATAAATCAAGTTTGTGCGTACTTGCTTAATTTCTCCTTTTGGCTCTGTGGTTTTATTCTGATTAAAACTTTCTTGTACTGCTTGAAGATTAAATAACATTTGTTTCAGAGCTTCAACAGGACCATGATGGTTTCCTCCAGAAAGGGTACAGTTCTAAGGTTAAAGGAGATGAGTGATTAACCATCCAAATTCGGGGTCAAAGCATTATATTTTGTATTATTTCTCCCATTATAAAATTAATGCAAAAATGAAAACAATACTTGTCAATAAAGTGTTTTAAAAAATCAGAATTGTATGTAACTCATCACCTCCCCTTATCCAGTCCCCAGATGAAGTTACTTAGAGACAATCATTATTAACAGGTTGGCATAGTCTTTCTAATCTGTTTGCTCTTTTAAAACAAATAGTACATGTTTACATTTGCAACTGCATCCATTTAGTACATTTAAAATCAAATTTTCAGAACTGAAAGGTCCCCAGAGAGTAAGTAAACCTACATCCTCTTTTCAAGTGTGTAGACAAAGCTGATTATCAGCTGAGCAAGGACTAAAATTTCAAACACAGTATTCTCTGCACACTTTTAAATGTTTTCACACAGAGAATGCTGGTTTTCCACTTCTTCAATGCTGGCCGCACATTCCTTGCTACCCAAAAAAACACTCATACCTCAATTATCACTGATCTTTCCTGCATCCAAAGAAGGCAATAAATAGCACTTAGCCACAAAAGGTAGTCTGGATTCTTTTAAGAGGATATGTAAGGAATGTTTAAGCTTGTTTTATAAAAGTCTTTCCAACCTATTATTTTCAAATCTTTCAAATGAGCTGTGCTCTGATAACTATCTGTAAAGTGACAAATAAGCTTCTTAAGATATCTGTAATTGAACATATTTCAGCACAGTGTAATATGTATACTATTTAAACTTCAAATCTAGAAGTTGTTGACTAGCATAAGAATATTAGAAGTGGGCTCTCACTGGTGAAGAGGTTCAAAGTTAAGTACAGTGGCTAAAAAGGTTTTAAAGACACTCTCCATGGCTATATAAACAAGGTATAAGAAACAAATGAGTGAGAATGTAAAATGATGGAGCTGCTATGGAAAATGGTATGGCAATTTCTCCAAAAATTAAGCATAGAATTACCGTATGAGCATGCAATTCCCTTCTGATTATATACCCAAAAAAGTAAAAGCAAAGACTCAAACAGATATTTATATACCCATGTCATAGCAGCATTATTCACAACAGCAAAAGGTGGAAGCAACCAAGTGTCCATCAGCAGGTGACTGGGTAAAGAAAACATGGTACATACGTACAATTCAGCCTAAGAAGAAAAGGAAATTTTGACTCGATACAACATGGATGAACCCTGAAGGCACTATGCTAAGTGAAATAAGCCGGTCACAGAGGACATGATTCCTCTGACATGATGCTAAGGATTGAATTGTGTCCTCAGAATTCATGTTGAAGCCCTAACCTCAAATGGGCCTGTATTTGGAGACAGGGCTTTAAGGAGGTAATTAAGGTTAAAAGCAGTCATAAGGGTGGGGCTTTGATACCATAGGATTAGTATCCTTGTAAGAAGGGAAACCTGAGAGCTCAAGGAAAGGCCATGTAAGAACACAGTGAGGAGCCAACCTAAAAAATCCCTTATGGCCTAAACTGGAACAATGTGAGTAATAAATAAATAATAATACTCTATTATAAACCTAGAATAAAGTATCCTATGAGTCCCTCCCAATATAATTTAATAAATAAATGGGGGAGAAGGAGCAGCTCTTCATTACACAAGAATTTCAATTAATAATGTAGAAGACAAGACCCACCAATGGATACTAAAATTAGTGGATGAAAGTTTGAGACCATTTGTATAGTTTTAAGTAGGTCCCCTAAGATATTTATTATTACAAAAGGAAACCATAATTTTACTAGAGAGAAAGCCAGAAGATACCAGGTGTTCAAGATCAACAGAACAAGTTTTAACATATTATTATAACTTTATATATGAGGTGCGATAACAAAATAGTGAATGTTTAAATTTTTAAAAATGTATTACAATAAAAGACACACTGCCATTAAACCCGCTCAAAACATTCCCCCTAGCTTTGAACACTCATCCCATTGCTCTTGCCACTTTCTGAAGCAGTTCTGGAAGTTCTCTTTTGTGAGTGTCTTTAGTTGTGCTGTCATGGGTGACTCAATGTCCTGAATCGATTCAGAACATTTACCTCCCATGATCATTTTGACTGAGGAAGCACCAGAAGTAGAACGATGCCAGATCGGTGAGTAACATGGATGAGGATACACTGTAATGTTTTTATTTGACAGAAATTGCCGTTCCAGCAGTGATGTGTGACACGGAGCATTGTCATGATGCAGGATGAAACCACTTGCCTCTTTTCTCAAGCCGTTTTCTGTGCATAATGTTTCTTAAACGCTCTAATCAGCTCTTATAATATTCAAAGTTCACCATAGTGTTCCTGGGTACAAACTCAGCTTGCACAATTCCATTAAGGTCAAAAAACACAATTAACATCATCTTGATGTTAGATCCTAACTGATGCGCTTTTTGAGCACGAGCAGAGCTGGGTGATTTCTGAACCTTGGTCTCAGGATCATAACCATGTTCACAGACCCAAGTTTCCTCTCTTGTGATGACATGTCTTAAAAAGCTGGAATCTGAAGCAGCGTGATCATGCAACTCCAACGAAATTGACAAATGCTGTTGCTTTTGTTCCACAGTCAAAATGTGTGGAACGAATTTTGTACTCACTCGCCTCATGTTTAAATCTATTGTTAAAATGCTTTGAATGGAACCATAAGAGATGTTCAGCTCCTCAGAAATTTCCCTACTAGTCAATCGCCTGTTTGATCAAATCATTTCGCTTACTCTTTCAACATTCTCTTGGGTTTTTGAAGTTGAAGAATGACCCGATCTCTCCTTGTCTTCAATCAATTCACAACCATTATGAAATCACTCAAACCACTTGTAAACCATCTTCATGGTCACTGCAGCATCACCATAAACGAATTTTAAAATTTTGTGTTTCTTTAGCACTTTTTTGCATTTTGAAACAAAATTTCATATGAATGCATTGTTCATGATCAGTGATTTAGAGTACACTTTAAAACACGCCTTCTCTCAACCATAGCTCACACCCAACTGACTGCACCAAACAAGTTTAAACTTGTCATACACTGTTACTAAGGTTCAACGCGCCGCTTCCCATATTGAAGATCCCTGCCTTTCCGTTGGACGGCACTTGGCAGCAGCATTCACCGTTTTTTTTTTTAATCACACCTCATTATACTATTTTATTAACATGTTGCTATGGACCGAATGTGTTTGTCCCCCTAAAATTCATATGTTCAAGCCTAATCCAATGTGATAGCATTTGAGGAGGGGTGTTTATAAGGTAATTAAGTCATGAGGGTGGAGCCCCCATGAATGGAATGTGTGCCCTTATAAAAACAGACACAAGAGAGCTTGCTTCCTCTCTTCTGTCTGCCACATGAGAACACATGGAGAAGATGGCCATCTTCAAACCAGGAAGCAGGACCTTACCAGACCCCTTAATCTTAGACTTCTCAGCCTCCAGAACTGTGAGAAATAAATGCTTGTTGTTTAAGCCACCATCCATGGAATATTTATTACAGTGGCACAAACTAAGATCAATAGATTATGAGCCCTCTGATGTGATGCACTGAGAAGGGCATAGCATGGTTTCTGTTGCATTCTTGCCAAAATGCATAACCTCATTCTAATCATGAGAAAACTTCAGACAAACCCAAATTGAGGAATTATCTACAAAACAGCCAACTGACCAGTACTCTTCAAAAAAGTGTCAAGATCATGACAGACAAGGAAAGACAGGAATTTTAACAGACTGAAGTATGTTACAGAGATCTGACAACTAAGTACAACGTTGAATCCTGGATTGGATCTCAAAACAAAACATTGATAGAAAAACTGGTAAAATTAGAATAAGTATTGTGCCTAAGTTAATTCCGTTTGTGATCATTATGGTGAGATGTTAACATAAGGGAAGCTGGGAGAAGGGTGACAGGAACTATCTGTATTTTTTTGCAACTTTCTATACACATAACTTAAAAACAAACAAACACAACCACTCTGGTAATGAGGTTGTGTGTGTATGGTCATGGGAAAATGGATGTGTATGAGCAAGGGGGAAGGGACTGGTTGATTGGTATTTAACACTCGTACTTCTCAAACTTCAGAAAACTTCAGCCAAGTTGTTCCTCTACCAGTGCTCCTTATCTAAGCAAATGGTAACACGCAATCCTTTAGTTGCTTGGCTCAAACATCTTGGATTCATTCTTTGAATCCTCTCTAACTCCATTCTAGCAGGTCTATCTTCAAAATACATCCCAAGTCTAACCATTTCCATCCACCTCCAATGTACCCAGCCTACTCCAAGCTTTTACAATCCCTATCCTGAAAGACTGCAAAAGCCTCTAAACCAGCAGTTCTCAACCTTCCTAATGCCGCCACCCCTTAATACAGTTCCTCATGTTGTGGCGACCCCCAACCATAAAATTATTTTCATTGCTACTCTATAACTGTAATTTTGCTACTGTTATGAATCGTAATGTAAATATCTTTTTGTTTTCCGATGGTCTTAGGCGACCCCTGTGAAAGGGTCATTCGACCCCCAAAGGGGTCGCAACCCACAGGTTGAGAACCACTGCTCTAAACTTTTCTGCTCCTTCTCCAGCTCCTCTTAAGTCTATGCTCCATTCAGCTGACATTTTATATTTTAAAATGTAGATCTGATCATTTCATTCCTCCAGTGACTTCTCACTCAAATAAAATGTAAAATCCTCATTCCATAGCTCACAAGACCCTACATGATCTGGCTCCTCATTACCTACCTCTTAGCATTCTTTCCCTTGTTCCCTCTGACTGAGCTACACTGACTGGACTGATATTCCCTGAACATGCCAACAAATTTCTGTCTTGGGTTTCTGCACTTACTAGTACCTCTACATGTACAGTCATTTCCCCATGGATACTGGCTTATTCACTCATTTTAGGTTTTTGCTCAAGTATCACCTCATTAAAGAAGCCATTCCTGACGACCCTATCTAAAGCTACCCTCATTTCTCTATCCCAACTAATTTTTCTTCATAATATTTATAGTACACCCTTATATATTACATGTTATATTTTTGTTTCTCTCTCCAACTGGAATTAAAAAAGAAAAAAAAAAGCCAAGAGACAAGGTATTCCTGTCTCTTAATCACTACTAAGACTATAATTCCTAGAAAAGTGCTTGGTACTCAAATACTTGTCAAATAAATATAATTTATTAAGCTACACTTACCCAGCATCTGCTATAGTATCTTATATAGAGCTCTATGGTCAGAACTATTCTGACAGCATCTACTTTCTCTAGTAAACTTCACTGGAGGGAAAAAAGACATTTTATTACATTTTTTAGCTAATTTTTATTTTGGCTATTCATCCTCTCAAATCTTCCAGATGTTAAGATGCCAAAAGTATTATTTCAATATTTAATGCTATGGCTTATATTTCTTAATCAAATTATATATCATTTCCTACTGCACATTTATACTTTATTTGGGGGTTACTAGCAAGATGTACATATGCTGATATTGTAAAACTGAATAATTTTCCTATTTTAAATTATCTAAGTTTACAATTCTATCTTAGAAACACAACTCAATAATCAACTATCTTATGGGAAAATATAATTTACTCTATAGTGGTCTGTTTTCTATAGTGTTATATGTTATCCAGAAAAAAAAACATTATAATGACAATTTAGGCTCTCTATAGAGTTCAATCCCAGGCCCCTCTACTTTATTTATTTATTTATTTTATTTATTTATTTTTAAAGCCTACAGCACCCAGTATTCCCAGGCGGTCTCCCATCCAAGTACTAACCAGGCCCAACCCTGCTTAGCTTCCGAGATCAGACGAGATCGGGCGCGTTCAGGGTGGTATGGCTGTAGACATAGGCCCCTCTACTTTAGAATACTAAAATAAAATTATCAATAATTCTATGAGTGATGGTTTCATAGATGTGTATTGGGGAAGAGGAGGTTTGGGTCACTTTTTGTTTTGCAGTATATAGATAACTTAAAAATTAATATCTATATATTAGTAATTTTTTAATAAATTTAGAAAATTAACTTCACCCACCTGATTATCATTATTTAAAAAGTCTTCAGGGAACTCTTTCACACACTTTGTGCTTGAAGCTTCTTGAGGACTATCATCAGAGTTAACAGGAACAGGAGATTTGCTAAACAGAATTTAAGATAGAAGGTATCAATTAAGTTCCCAATTTGTAAGAATTAGACTGTATATAGTTGAATGGTTATTATTTAAATACAAATGGTCATGAAGAAAGAGCCATTATAGATATGATTCATATTGACATTGCTTGGTAATTCCCTCAATCATCATCTCCCTAGTTCTGATACCAGAACTAACCCTCCCCATCTCCTTGCTTCTCCTTGAAAGCTTTAAGGAAAAACTATAAAGAAATTGAAGACATTAGTCTTCAACTAAACAAATAAGCCTTCACCTATAAGGCAAGGCTCTAAAATCTCACTTGTTTGAAATAAGCAGTACATTTTTCCAATTAAACATTGTTAGTTACCCAGTGATAATATACAAAACCCCCACAAATTTATGAGATTTTCCAGTGGGATGGTAGTTATATTAAGTTGTCGTAAAAGTGATTACATATTTTTTCTATGTTTTTTGTGGCAAAATGGCGTCATGACTTTTCCGACAACCCAACATATGCTCTTCCACGTCAAAGCAATAGGACATCCCTCTCCAGAACTAATACTAACATATAGGACAGATTAGAGTGGGAAAAGATTAAATTTTGAAATTAAAATTCTTGAGTTCAAATCTCAATCCCACTCACTATATGACCCTATATAACTTCGGTTTCTACATTTGTAGTCCACTTATCTCACAGAAGTATTGCATAAATTAACTCTATGTACCTGATACATTTAATAAATGCTCCATAAATATTAATTTCTTTCTTGATGTTCAGGGGGTGGTAGAAGAAAGGGCATCCCCAGCAAAAGTAAGAATTTTCCCCAAACCAAATTCTATTAGTCACAGAGAACACACTCATTCTCTCTCTCTCTCTCTCTCTCTCTCTCTCTCTCTCTCTCTCTCTCTCTCTCATTTATATATCAATATGCTAATATTTTCTTAATAATTAGCATTTCACTATTGACTCATTTGATTTGAAATTCACTATGAGCTTTTTAAAGCTCCCAAGTAGTTTTATCTCCCATTCTTTACTAAAGGAGTTTACACATCCACCCACCATCATCAAAAACATTTACCTGATCATTGACGATGGGTGCTGGGTACATAGGGATTCATTATACTATTCTTCTACTTTTGTATTTGTTTGAAATTTTCCATTACAGAAACTTAAACAAACAAAAAAAGCAATTATCTATCTGGCTGCGGCTGTGTTCAACCTTTTAGTATACTACCTTGAGCATTTCCAGGTTGATTTTGATTTTTATGAGACTGATAATAATTTGTCAATGTCACAATGAGGCCAGGTCTATTCCTTCTTCTCACAATCCATCATTGATTTTATATACAAACATACCCATCTCTATATGAATTCCACCTTCTAAAAACTACTGTATGCAAGGTCCTGGGCCAAACAATTGATGAGAATAATTACACTAGTCAGAAGTTATATTATCTAATTATACAAAATACATTAAATGCATTCAAAAATTTTACACTTAAAATGCCTGATATTATTTGCTCACCCATTTTGGTTCCAACTGAAAGCAAAGTAGTGCAGCTATGGTACTTTACAAATACACAGACCAACTGATAATAAGAAATATAAAAATAAGAAAAATAAACTTAAGAATTAAATGAGCTAATTATTAACCCATTAAAAAAGATATCATTGAACCAACAATTGAGAAATGAAGCTAAACAAAGAAAAAAAATATTCTGGATAATCACCACCACTATTACAATTTACAAGAGAGATCATTCTTTAGTCAGAAACTGTCCTAAGTACCTTATATTTATTTTCTAATCAACTGAATCCTCACAACAACCCCAAAGTAGAACTTATACGAGGTTTTGTACAGACTAGAAATTGTACAAAGCAGGCATAACTTGCACAAGGTCTTAGCGATGAAGTGACAGTGCTGGGACTGCAAATCAGTTATCATAGTCAGGTCCATATTAAAAAAAAAAAAAAAGATTTAAAGAGACGTTCAACTGAGAAGTAATCCCCCCCAAAAAAATCCAGGAGTTAATAAACTCCATCTGTAACAAAATAAAAGTTTAGAAAACTAAAGATAATAATAAACATCAGAACCTAAGGCAGAATACCAAGAATGCATTTCTGATGAGTCTAGATACAATAATACCACTAAGAACAAAAAGCTTTCCTATCTACACTCCCAATCCTTACTCTTTGCTCACATTCAGTTTCTAGTTGAACACTTTTTAGATTATTCTGAGAAATTACGTCATAAAAAGGTTAAGCACACAAATGAAAACAATCTTAGGAAGTATAAAAATTTATACAATAGACCATATTAAAAAATGGACCATCACTTTTAGTCAGGAAAATAATGACTAAAAGAGAAAGTAAAATATGAATGAAAATAAATGGATAACTCTAATATATGGAAAGATTACAGTCAGAGAAGAAAGTAACAAGAATTTCATAGCACTCTTCCATCTGCAAAATAGATGCTTTTGGTTCTAATTTCTCACATTAAACATATCAATATAGTGCAACAAAAAGAACATGCAACAAAGACAAAAGTTACATAATGTATCTAAGGTTATGAAACATTACACCACCTTGTGGTAACAAATGAAAAATGCAATATAAAGTAAAGTAACATTGAACACTATGTTGTATAGAATTACCATGTTATTACCAATGTTATTATCATTAAGTTATTTAAAAAATAAATTAGATGTTCACATATTTTTCATTTGGAAAACTAAACAGTTTTTCCATTATAACTTACTTACAAAGTAACAGGAATATTTTCCCATGATCTTTCTGCTTCAAGTTTATCTAATGAACAAGGACTGTCGTCCTGTTTCATAGCGTTTGGCAATTCTTCAGTACAGTGCTCTAGATTTCTCTTCGCCTTCAGGATAAGCAATTCAATTTTGTCACCTATTTTAAAAAACTACATTAATTCTTTAAGAAAAAAGTAAATGCAAAGCACAGCAAAATATCACAAAGGCAACAAGAATTCAAGTAATTTAGAATATATGCACATCTATAACAGCAAATTATATCAAAATGTGACATTTTAAACAAATAAAGGGGAGAGAAGACATTTCTAGTCACTAAAGTGCTACATAAATGAAGACCATAAGAGTTCAAAAAGATGTATCATCTGGTCATTACATCAAGACTATAACATAAAAGTTCCTAGATAGTAAGTCCAATTTACAGCATTTTCTTTGGTTCTTAAAAACAAAACAAAACAATTACCACTGAATGGCTTTTTGGATTGTCCTGGGAGAAGTGGATTCTCACATTGACACTGGCTACATGCAGAATCACATTTGTATTCATTAACTAATCCTTTATCATCACTCAAAAAATGTGCAATATTTGAGGGTTCAAAAGAATATTCAAAACAATCTAATTTATTCATAAGCCGAGAAGTTCTTTGTGCCTGATAACTATGTCTAGGAGAACACTGATCTTCTTTAAATATTTTATAAATCTTTTGACTATTTGTGTCAGGTAGCAAGTCTTGATTGTGGAGCCAGACTGGGTATTTGAAATCAGGTATACTAGTTATCCCTGAAACATTAAGGTCAGACTTCTGGCCAGTGAGCCATCTTGGGTAATTCTTTTCAACATTGTGCTCTGAAACGTCCTTGAAAGATGTTTTTTTGGAAAAAGATAAAGATGGTTCAGAAATGCATTTATTACTTTTATCCACAAGTTTTGGCTTTTTTAGCCTACCACATTGCTTTCCATTTATATTTGTGAATACAACAGGAGTAACTAAGTTATCCTTGCCCATGGCAGTAGAGGGTTCTTGAAAATTTTGATGCTTTCCAGTGTTTGAGTAACTCAGCCTTCCAATGCCTTTCTTGCTTTTCTTGCTAATTCGGTGACCTGGTCCAACATAAGTGAAAGAAAATGATCCATCTGCTGGAAGTTTTAATAGATCATCGGTTGTTAGGCTAATGGAGTCTATGTCATTAATAGTCTGTCTTCTAGAAGGTATGGACAATGAGACTTTTTTGTGATCAAAATTCTCAACAGCTGAAAAACAAAGCATAGTTCTGTTTATCTTCTTATATCACATATAAAAATACTTCAAAATATTCCACACATAAAAATACTTCAAAATATTCAACAGTAAATGAGAATTAAGAATTTAAGAATCATTTTTGCCACTTCCCCTTTATCTTCACTAAAGCTTTGATTAAAAGTATTAAAAGGTATAGGTTGATGAAATAGGATGTGCTTTTTTTCCTCACATCTCAATTTGTTTTAACCAATTTCTACACTTTTCTCTCCAACCTCCTGAATTTTTCCATGTTCTATAATTTACTGTTTCTTCAAGTTTTTTCATCTAGACATACCCAATGCACTAATGCACTCACATTAATAATAGTCACTCAATACTGGCTCCAACACAGGAAAAAAATATGCAATTAAATTAAGTATGAAATAGTTGCTTTCTTGCCTACTAACTCTGCAATAGCATTAACACAGAGAAAACCAGATGTTCTAATTCTCCTTTTCCGGAATATAGTGCCCACATCCTTCTAAGAGTCAAATGCAAATTTTTTCCATACTAGGGCTATTCATAAGTGCTCAGTAACTGGGTTATCAACAGATGTATTTTCCAAACTTTTCTTCATAGAAGCCTTATCAAGGAAAAACTCTTAACATTTTGTAAATATTATCCCATAGAATACATATCAGAAAGACTAATATAGTCCTATCCCATCAACTGGAATTGATCAAGTATAAACTCAGAAAGGCTGAGATTTTACTCAGGCTTTCTAAGTTTATACTTGATCAATTTCATTTTCAAGCTAGTCGATGAAAGCTAGAACCACCAATTCAATGCTCTTTCCATTAAGCTATAATAAAATGTCTTAAGGGTTAGGATCAGCCACTTGCTATCATTAATTATATTAATCAACTTCCCCTCCAAGGTGAAAAGGGGATCTTAGCTGAAAATTCCTGAGAACCAGATAATTACAGAATCATTTAAGAAAAATATCCAGATTTCAATATTATAAATCATTTTTACCCCAAAAGAACAACAACAAAAAAGCATCTAGTTTTTCAAGACTATAACACATATCTCAAATACTTTAAATCTGTGGACAAAAGGATAACAAACAGTAAAAGCGTACCATTGTTTGGTTTACAAATATTGTTGGAGAATTCTGGCATATTAGCAGAACACTTATCAATGTTAATCTTTCCAGTGCTTGCACCAGGATACATTCGGCTTAGATCAAAATCATCAATATAGGCCTGCAGAGCCTGAGATGCAGAACTGTACAGTTTATCCTTATACTGAAAAGAGCCATCAGGGTTAGAGGAATTATTACCACTCAGGCTACAGCTTGCTAACAGAGAAGATACTGAAGATTCCCGAGAACAAACTCTGTGTTTTATATTTGATTTTGCCATGGCTTCCTCAAAATGGATTATTTCTGTTGATTTCTTTTAGAAACAACTGTAATACAAAAACAAAAGTTTGAGGTTCCAAGTAAAATGAATAATAGCCATATGCAAAGAAATGACTAAATACGTAACTTTTTATATTCTTTAAAAAATAAAATCCATTATCTATAAATCCTTTTTAGGCAATGCACATTATAGATTTTGTATTCTTTTTTGTGATCTCCTTCATTACTGATTTAGAAATCATTTAGTGAGCACCTACTATATGCCTGGAATTATGTATAGAAAAATTATCTGAGACTATGCATGGAAAATACCAAGGGAATAGTACTAACATTTTCTTTAAGTCTTCAAAACTACTAATGTACAGTCTTTTCTTATGGTGATATATTCTATGACATCACAATACCTAACATTCCCTTATACAGAATATTTTTCAATTCATACGCCTAACATTATGTACTGCAGATAAATTTTTAAAGGCACCAAATGAGGTATTACAAACAAGAAGGAGCAGTGGAGAAGAACATCCACTTTCAATGTTGTAAATGCCAAAATGTAACTTTAGCCAACACTTTCACCCTGGAAAAGATTTGAGAGAACAAAACAGTATTTATCTATAAAGAAACTACCAGTCATACCATAAAATGAGCTAGCACAATGCTCTTTTCCTAAAATAACATTGTTAGTATCATTTTCAGACCTTCATTTTTGGTAGTACCTCATAAACTGATATCAGCGCACCTCTCTTTTAAAAGACAAATATGAAGGAAATTGGTTTAATGTATTCATCTTAATGTTTTCCATTATTAAAATTAAGAGAATTTCTGTCTACCTTAATATTGCAATAGGATCTATATTTGAAAACCTAAGAAATAACATAATCAAAAGGCGCTATATTCAGTACACGATATGACATTCTTTTAAAACTGAATCAATGGATAGTATTACTAACCAATGTCACGCCAATCAATTTAATAAAAATACATATACATAAAAAAGAGCGCTAGACAAATCAGTTTTGTCCTTCCTTTACACTGTCTAATGATATCTAAATAGCCTCAAGTAAAGATTGCTTGGATAATAAATCTGACCAAACGTTTTCTTCCTTATTCGAACACAGTACAGGTGACGGACTGTTAATTTTACAAAACCTCAAAAACCTAAAAGGCAAAGCTGCTGGATTACAGTTCTCTGTAAGTGGGTAATAATAATTTTAACTCCCAGGAGGCAAAAAGAAAAGCCACAATTGAACTTTTATTGTGGAACGTGTTCAAAAGTATACAAGTGTAGAAAAAAAGTTCAATAAACCCTTATGCACCCATTATCCTGCTTCAAACAATTACCAGCTTACCCAAACTTTTTATCAACCCACTTCTCCCACAGGATTATTTGGAATATATTTGGAGATGGCTCACCATTTCTTCCGTAACCGTTCGTGTCCCCAAAAGGAAATCCATCATTCCGAACGGAATGTTAAACGGTCGGCAAGACAGTTCAGCTACCTTTGATTCAAAACAGAACGCTCAGTGTTAAATAACCAATCCCAAGAGCTCACAGGAACTGAAGAACAACTCTTGGCAATTAACAGCTCTGTCGTTTATGTGATGAAACCGAACATATTGTTTAGTCTACAGCGAAAAGAATAGACCAGGAACACGCAGAGTGTTGGCGCCCCAAAGCATCATGCTCCCTCGCGGGCGCTGGTTTCAAACCTGCCGCCCTCGTCTAGGAAACACCCTCCCTTCGGGGTCCTAGCGGCCCGACAGCCACAGACACAGACGTCTCAGAAACCATTCATCAGGCTGCGGTAGTCAGCGCCACCGTGAGCGGACACAGCGTTTCGAGATGACGGTCCCCGCCCGTGACAAGCGACGCCTCCAGACCCAAGTCAGGTCCCCTCCGTCCCGTTCCGCGACCCTCTACCGCCGGGGAGCCCAATCCCTAAAGCTGTCCTCCTTCCACGGGGACGATAAACACCCCTCCTCCCTCAGGAGACGTCTTCCCCTTCCCTCCCCACCACCCTTCCGTTTTTAGCCTTTTCCTAGCGCTGTCCAAAGATGGGACGCCCTTGGAAAACACACCCCCTTTTCGGACCGAATTCACCCACGGAGATCCGAAAAGAAATAAAAATGCACACTTCCACAACTCCCCGCCGAAAGCCCAGGCTTGCTACCAGACTGGAGACGCGACACAAGGCATCCCAGACCCGGACACAGCCGCACTTCAGGCGCCGCTGGCTCGCAGCGCCATCCGCCGTCACAGCGCAGCGCGACGCCCGCGCTGGCTTTCAAACCGACCCAACATGGCGCGGGGCGGCGGTGCGCATGCGCGGGGCTCTGGCGCGGGGGGCAAGCTGGGCGAGGGGCGGAGGCTGGAGGGGGAAGGGGACGTCGCGGGGCGTTAGGTCGCACTGCCTGCTGGGAAGTGTAGTTTCTCCCTCTTCATCTTTCCGGGGCGGGGCTTCTGGCCAACATCCGCGTCGCTGCGGCGCACGCCCTGCCCACCTCCGTCACCGCTATTCGCCGCCTGTCTGCTGCGCTGATCACAGGCTGAGGCCCCGGCCGAGAGCTCCTGCGACTGTGTGAGGGGACCGGGTGGGAAAGGAGACTTGGGGGACTTGCGGCTGACGTTTCGCTTGCCGAGAGCCAGCTCCACCTCCCGAGTCCTTCCAAGTGAGCTCGGCCTCCCCGCTTTCAGAGCACTCCCTCCCGGGATAAGACCCCATCTCGGCCGGAGGAGGGGCGGGGGGCGTCTCCCCCAACCACTTGCTTACCTCCCTTCTCAGTGCCTTCCCCAATTTCATCCTTGAGCTTGGCCCTCCTGGGCTTCCAGCCAGCCCCTCACCCTCAAAGTAGATGCGAAATTGAACGAGGAAGGGGAGTTTGGCCTGGGATGGGATTTAACAAACTCCTTGGGGACCTTGATTCCCAGGAAGAAATGGCAGTGATCCCAGCACGGAGTGGGGATCCAGTCAGGCAGCCCAGAAAGAGGGAGATTATACAAACAGATGTAAAGACCCACTAACAACATGTGTGAACCTGTCTACAAGGCTGGGACAGGATATGAGGTGCGAAGAATACAGTTTCAACCAAATGGTGTATCAAAAAAAAAAAAAGATGCCATCTCAATATTGGTTTGTGTTTATTTTCCACTGGCCCTATGGGTGAAGAAGATAGCCTTGATGACGCCACCTGAATATGTGCCAGCTCATCTGATGTTACATCACCAGGTAATGCAACCGGAGCCTGGCGCTTACCCTTCACCCAATCCAGCCCACTAAATTTAACCTTCCCCTTTTTCTTAGCAAACGAAAAAGTCCAGAAGCTAGAAAATTCAGTTGAGTGGTTCGTTTATTGTGGCAGTACGCGCTAGGTGATGTGAAAATGAATACGACAAAGTACCTGCAGGAGTTGACGCCCTAGCGGTGTTTTCCGATAACCCGTGCAACTCCTAGATCAGTCAATACCAAGTAGTATTCCTAATAGGAAACGAAGAACTGTTATTTATGCTGGGACAAGCCCAGGTCACGGACCTGGCAAGGATTGTTAACGGCATGAGCTTAAAAAGTTAGACTTTTTTTTATGCACGCTCCACGTAAGCTGTATCTTGAACGTTTCTTTCACTACCCTCTTCTTCCACCTTAGGGTATAGATAGCAAATGTTTCCTAATGAGGACATAGATTGTAAATAAAGGACTCTGAGGAAATGTAAAAGACATTATCAGATATATTGACATAATTCATGGATCAAAATAATTCTACTTCCATTTTGTTCCTTCACAGGTTAAGAGCTATGGAGATCTCCATGAGGATTTGGAGGAAAGTCCCAGTAGTTATTAAAATCCTGGACTAGATCTATTAGGAAAGGTAAAAAAAACAAAACCAAGAATCTACTAGGAAAAAGGAGTTATAATGGTTTAAGAGTTTTTCAAATATAGACATAACTGTCATTCGTTGCTGGAGAGCTAAATAAGTGAAGATAGATTTATGTTCCAATCTAAAAGAGCTTTAGGTGAGAGCTAAGGAAGACATGTTCTGATAATTAAACTTTAAGGTTTATTGAGGCAACTCTTTGGAGAGTTTTTTAAAGAGAGCTTTAAATGTCCATTTTAGGAACAGAAACTAACTTTTTTGATTACCAAGAAGGGGCCCCACACTGTTACAATCACTTTTACACATATTAATTTACTTAATCCTTATAATGACCCCATGAGATAGTTATTATTATCCCCAATTTAGATGTGAAAATTGAAGTTCAAAAGTTAAGCAATTTATCTAAAATAATACAGCTGGTGGTGAGTGGCAAAGGCAGGACTTGAATCCAGCTCTGTGTTGTCACATTCTTTCCACCATACCAACCAGCCTCCCCTAACTGAAAAGCGAGTGGCGGGCCAAAGGACCGATGAGAGTGCAGCTACCCCAGCTCCTTCACAGCAGAAACAGGATCTTACTCAACTGTTTTTGCCACACTTAATCCCTAGTAAGGGTTCAGGAAATGTGTTTAAACTAAATTGATTTGAACTTGGTATCCTGTCTGAAGAGGTGACATTTAAACAAAGACACCAATGAAGAGGAGTCAGTCGTTAATATTGGGGAAGAGTGTTACGAGCAGCGGGAGGAGCAAGTACAAAGGAGGAAGATGCTTTAGGTGTATTTGTGTAGCAGCCAGGAGGTCAATATGATTGCTGCCAAGTGGGAGATGTAGACAGGAGTTGCCTTTGGAGAGGAAGCCAGGGGTTCAGATTATTTAGTGCCACTGCTGCTCACTTTAAAAAGATTAATCCCCAAGAACACCTGATCAATAGATTATGCTTTAAGAGAGAAAGGAAGCATGATGAAGCTGTTAGAATAATGATTTATTGAATGTTATGTACCAAGGAATGGGATGGGACATTTAAATGCATTATCTCAATCATCACATTAATTTTACAGGGTTAGGTATTATCCCAGTTTTAAAACGTGAGAAACTGGGGAAACAAATATTAAATAACATGGTTCACAATTAGTCAATGGCAGAGACAGTATGTGATCCAGGTCTCTGACTCCAAAGCCTGCTCTGTGTACCACACCATGTTTTCTCATTTGAAAGACTGAATAAGGTGGAAGGGATTCATGCATGCACGCATTCAACAAGTTCATTGCTATGCAAGAACACTGTAGAAATAGTATTAAAATGTAAGACAGCCTTTTAAAACTTTTTGTATGATTCCATTTTTACCCATCATTTGCTTTTAAAACTTTGCAGGTAGATGGACTATAAGGCACTTGCTCAGCAAACGGCTCAAGAAATTTTAGGTTACTATCAAGAAACATCAGGCTGGAAAGTGGTTAAAATTTCAGTAAGAAAACAAGTTAACTATGTTTTAAGAGTTTGTTTTTTAATGAGAAACAATTCATTGTACAGACATTTTTTAAACAATTTTTTTACAACAAAAACATATATTTTTACTTTGGGTTTTTGTTTTGGTTTTTTGGTTTTGCTTTTTTTCTGTATCTGACAGCTAATTTATTTGTGAATTTTTGTTCCCCTTTGAGAAAAAAGTAACTGTTTCCAGCAAGGCTTCTAAAAAATTTCATGGAAATCTGTGAGTACAAATTCCTACTTACAATCATTGTTTTGACCTAATCAGTGGCATTGATGTATGAATTTAATTCTGCTTAATTAGCGATAACACATTATTTGCTAGTGATCAGGAAATAGAAATTAATAATAAAGTCATTAGGTTAAAATGATAATTATAAAATAGAGCAATTATGTACTAGCTAATCATTTTCAAACCTGAAGACAATCAGAAAAAAAAAATCCCTTCTAGTGAATAACTCACTATGGTAGGTAATTTCCACTTCAAGAAATAATTACTATAAAAGCAGATTGGTATTTTCTTGCTAACAGTAGTATTCTGTGGTCTTTAAACACTTCAGTTTTCCAATAAATGAACCACTGAAGATAGTTTCTTTCCCCAATTTATTTCTTTTTCTGATATGTTGTTTTTTTCTGTAAGCTGCTTTTAAGGATATTTTTGAGGATCCTGTTATTTCAAACATAAATACACTAAGGGAAACTGTGCTGACATTTTTAACCTTATTTTTAAGAGTTGTTCATTTATTTATTGCTCATGATATCACATTAATGCCATGAGATCATCATGTTATTAAGGAAACCAAATATTCAATTTCTTTTTTTTTAAATATTCCACTCCTTACAACTACTTCATTTTGTGTTTCTTGCCCTTTTTTCATCTGACTACAATTTACCTATCTTGTGTTTGTGTTCAATCTAATTTTTTATAATACTTTAGGACAAAGCTGGTATGCTTTCTCCCATTCATTTTAATAAATTTCAGGAAGATCATCCCTACCTTTAAACAAATAATGATTCTAATAGTGGTACTTTCAAAACTAGACTGAGGTGGGAGTAGGTAAGGTCAAGCCCAGACGTACAAGGGGAATAAACTTGGATATTATAGTTTTGGGGAGCCTTACATATTAGGTCAGTATAGACAGCAACCTGTACATCAGAGAAAGCTTGGAAGTTATTTATTCATTCTACAAATACTTCCTGGGTGTTTACATGCAAAGTGCTATACAACATGCCTAGAGCCATTGAAAGAATAGCCTCAATTAGGCTGTTTTAAAGCTTTATTGAACATTTTTTTATCAGAGATATTTTACTCTTACATGCAAAGCTAAACAGATGAAAAACATTGGAACTTTCTGCATTCACACTTTCAGTGAAATTTATATATACTGAATACTAGTTATTTATTGATGCACAATATCTTACCCCATATCTTAGTGATTTACCCCATATCTTAGTGATTTAAAGACATATATTATCTCATGTTTTCTGTGGGTCGGGAATCCAGGTGTAGGTTAGCTTGGTGCCTCCACTTCAACTATGCTCACAAGGCTGCATTCAAGGTGTCAGCTGGAAGTAGGTCTCATCTGAACACAGCTCTGCTTCCGAGCTCACTTACATGGTGGTTGGCAGGATTCGGTTCCCCGTGGGCTCGTTGGACTGAGGGCCTCAGTTTCTCATTGGCTCTAGGCTGGAAGCCTTCCTCAGTTCCTTGACATATGGGCATCTCCATAGGGCTGTCCCAACATGGCAGTTTGCTCACCTCATAGTGAGGGCTCCAGGAGAGAGCAAGAAAAGGAGCAAACGTGACAGAGGCCAAAGTCTTTCTGCACGCAACCTTATCTTGTGACTTCCCATGACTTTTACAATATTCTGTTTACTAGAAGAATAATTGTATTATGTATTTTATACATAAAATTTATTGCTAGGTCCAGCCCTAACTCAGGGGTAGGGGATCACACAAGTGTGTGAATTATCAGGAAGTGGAGATCACTGGGGGCCTGTCACACACTGGTTCTGGCAAACTCTCTTTTAATTCTTTTTTATAGTTGAGCTATATAGTCCAATGAATATCACATACAGCTTCAAAATTAAGATTGACCAAAGGTACATGAAACTCAATTTTTACATGCTTGTTTTCTCAAGCACAACCCACTGATTCTTCTAAGTTTGCCATGTTTATGTACAGAAGGAGATTATGATTGGAACAGTTTGCGTTTTTCAAAATATCTATATTACTCTAAATCAGCTATGGCAGATATTTAGCTTCTTACAAAGGAAATCACTCTGAACATGTTGGTCAGGTCGGTCTGCCTCAGTGGAAAGTTTACCTCCCCCAGCCTGAGTGAGAAGAAAACGAGACTGCAGCCAAATTACGGGGAAAAGCTAGGGAAGCTTAAATTTTTTCCAGTACTTCAAAACATAGCTTCATGGTTTTATTTAAAGAGTTGTAAATAATCAAAGTAAGAAACATGTGCATATGAATTTATAATGGGCAACTGAGTGTAAACATTGTACATTTTGGGATGTATAGTATGGTCTAATGCACATTGCCAAACTAGTATCTGAGAAATGTAATCCTGCAAGTGGGATGATTGTCAAGTAAGTTTTTCAAAACACTCCAGACTATATTCTCTTATTGGAGATACATTAAAGTTCAGAGAAATCCTAAAATAAAGAAACCTGCTTAATTCAAACTTTTCCAAATGTTTTGAGCAAGAACATGCTTGTAAAACATAGGCCTAGATAATGGATGATTTCAGATCCTAATAGATGCTCTAATTGACTATGTACAGAGAGAAGTGATTTATTTTTCATTATCTCCCTGCTCCCATCCTAATGCATGACACCATCATCTTTCATCTAGATTATTTCAGTAACTCCTAATGGACTCCATGCATCTACTCTTTACCAACTACCTTATTCTTTACACAATGGCCAAAGTAGACTTCTTAAGTATAATTCAGGAAATTAAGAAAACTCCTAAGTGAAAGTAGCTCCCTTAAAAAGACAACTATGGAAACATTATAAGCAAAATTTGCAGAAAAATGAATTTTTAAATAATTTATATTAGTCATTACAATGCATATTTAAATTAACTTTGCTACTTCCAATTGAATATTAGTGTTTTGAATTGTTGATATTACCTTCAAGATTTCTTTACTGTTATTTGCTAAATTAGTATACTTTATGCTATAACATTTTCAGACGAAACTTGTTAAATTTTGAATTATTTTACTTTGTTAACTATAGATATCGTGTTGAAGGCATATTTCCAGAATCAACATGTAAACTATCTGATTTCCTCTACAAACCTGAAAATAGAGTTACATGGGATAAATCATTGAAAGTGTACAATATGGTAGACAAGATTGATTCGGTAACGTGTTGTTTAATATTGGACTTCCACTGTATTATTTTTGGTTTTATATCTTAGTGATTTGAGTTTATTAAACCTATATTATTTAGACACTTCACATTTTATAGATTCAAATTGAGATGAAATCTTTATGAAAGTCTTAGAACTTCTCTTTATTACTCAAGAGTTTAATTCCAATTAGCTTCATTCTGTTTTAAATACATACCACATTCTGAATCTGGTCAGCCCTCTTGAAGATGTGTGCTTTCAGTTGTGAGGAGATGAACTGAGATTCTTTTTTTTTTTTAACTAAAATTTATGGAGGTGACAATGGTTAGTAAAATTACATAGGTTTCAACTGTACAATTCTGTAATCCATCATCTATGTATCACATTGTGTGCTCACCACCCAGAGTCAGTTCTCCTTCCTGCATCATATATTTGACCTCGTTTACCCTCATTCTCCTACATTAGGATAAAAAAAGATTAAGCATGCCTTGTTAATGAGAAGTCAGTAGATTTGTGTAATTCATAATATATTAGGGAACAGGAACAATGCAGACACATATTATAGGGACTTAAAAACAAACAGCATGTAACTTAAGAGGGAGAATAAAGTGTGAAATAACATGTAGATGGTTGTGGTTTTAGAAACACTTTAATACATTATCTCAGTTAAACAGATAAAGAGGGAAAACAAAAACAGAGAAAAGAAAATATGGGTAATTGGTGTAGAAAGTTAAAGTCACAGAGGCAAGCAGGTCTTAGAAGAGGGGAGAAGAAAACATCAGTATGAGGTGAGGGTAGAGTGAAAGCTCAGACGGAGAAAAAAAATGAATGAAACGAGAGAGGAAGAATGAGACAAATCTCTCACCTTCATATCATTTATTTAGAACTCTTTAACTTTTACCTCCTTTTATTAAACTGATTTTAAAGTCTGGGAGTGGGGAGAGGTTGTAAAAAAGGCCCAGGAAGGTTTCACCTGATAGAAATGTCCTGAAGTTCCTATCCACAAAACACATGACCATGACCCTCTTGGGATTTGAACATCCAGTTTGAGAAACATGGTCCACCACAAATGAAAATCCAAGCACTGGACTGTTTCATTCATGATTGTATGATACTAATTACATAGATCTGTTAGCATTTCAGATATTTCTGCTGTTGCTGCAAGTCAGCTGTAATAATGGAAAGAATACTAGACTTAGCATCAAAAAATATGAAAACAGAGAAATTATGTGACTTGCTCAAGGTCACCACAGGCAATACATGGTATTATAATAATACAACCAGGATTTATACCTGATCTGATTCCAAATTCCAGGTCTTTTACAGTATACCACAGTATCTCTGAATAGCATTACCCAAAAAGAACTATGGGGTTGTCGGAAAAGTCATGACGCATTTTTGCAATGAAAAACATAGAAAAAATACATCATGACTTTTCTGACAACCCAATATTTTACCTTTCTGTGAATATTTATGGTGTTCATCATCTGGGGTGTGTTTTAATGGCTCATTCACCCCATTGGTGAGAGAGGGATTCCTGCTCTAAGATTATAGGGGTGGTCAAACACATGACACCCAACACTAGAAAATGAGGTCAGTAGCACTTTATTAATAATTAATCGCAGCCCAGGAGAGGACTGTTATGACTTTGTTAAATTAACATCTGTTAAGTGGAGTATAGGGTGCCGGATGGTGAGCCATGTTTCAACAAAAGACCACAAGAGAAATTGAAATACAGAAGTTTGTTACTCACAGGTCCTGGAGGAAGTACACAGCAAGCCTCAAGAGCCCACCCAGGGAGCTGAAGGCAGACAGAGAGGCAGAACCTGGGGCCCATGCCTTTACTAGGGTCTGTGGGTAGAGTGCTTTGGGGTTCCAGGGTTAAGGCCTGATCTGTCAATTCAAACCAAAAAGGGAAGTGTTTTGGTAAGCTCTGTGGGGGACCTTATCTAAGGGGCTCACAACGGGAAGGCCCTGGGAGGCGTGGGAGACTGCCGAACCCAGGGCTGTTGGGAAAGTCATATCGGGAACTTACATTTGCTTGTGAGTTTGGGCTGGTATCTAGGGCACACACTGCTTGGCCAAACAAAATGGATGCTGAGGCAGCAAAACCATGGAGTAGTTTGGCTAAGCTCTCCAGGACACACCATGCCATTCAGTGTGACATGGGAGTTGCACTCAGGAACAGAATGAATAACCGGCGAGGCAGGCTTTGTAGTTTCAAGGGATTGAGGTGACCCCTAATTCCTGCAGGAGGATGCGATTGGTTTTTGGAATAACTCTCCAGGCTAGCAGGGAACTGAAAAACCACTACTCAGGGATAAGTAGGAACTGTGCCTTATCCTGTTGATAAGGAAGGTTGTTTGGCCAAGGGTCCTGAATCTGTGGGAACAAGAGTCTGGAGAGGTATTGCAGTTAGGTGATTTAAGACCCTCCTTATTCCTCCAGATGTCTTGCCAGGACATAATATTGGCCATTTAATTTTAGGCCTTACACCATAGGTGCTAAATCAATATAGTTTTCAGAATAGATTACCTAGCCAGTGTGGAGTACTGGGAACCAGGAAATCTGGGTTCCCCTCATCAGCTATATGATTTGCAAATATTTTCTCCCATTCTGTTGGTTGTCTTTCATTTTGTTGTTTTCTTTGCTGTGCAGGAGCTTTTTAGTTTGATGGAGTCCCACTTGTTTTTGCTTTGGTTGCCTTGCACTTATAATTATAGGTCTAATGTTCCTTCAACTCTGAAAATGCAAGCTGATTTGGTGATAAGTTTAAAACTTCAAAGCCCCGCTTTTTCCAAATAGAGGCCAAACGGATACAGTGAAATTCTTTGGGGAGCAATACAAAGAATAGATATTAAATAATTGTTGCAATCTTTATGGTTTCATCTGTTTCAGGACACATTCATATGTCATACCATCACACAAAGCTTTGCAATGGGCTCAATTTCCCCCCGAGACTTTATCGACTTAGTGTACTTCAAGCGCTTCCAGGGGAATATGAATGTTATCAGTTGTAAGTTGAAACATTTTGTCCACATTTTAGAATGACTATGAGTCATTGATTAATGTTTTTCTTTTAACTCATATTTTACAAGAAATATATTTTCAATTAATTCTTTATTTTTTTTATTTGCTTAGTGAGACTAATAAATATATGTATAACACAGACAAGCCTAATGTTTTTTTTTACTCAACTCTGGAGATGCCATTTATATCCTAGTCAATGATGACAGCGCCTCCAGCCTTTTTGCAGCATACAGCCAGCAGCACTGAGTACAAAGACTCTTGTAGGCTAAAACTTCCGAGCAGACATTTAAAAACTATTAAGAAACAAAAGTAATCTTGAGATATATCATTTTATATTTGAGTTGTGGAGACTGGGTATAAACAGTACCAATAAAATTCCTGAGGAAATGTTTACTACATGAGTCTTCAATAAATGTGCTGATATTTCTTTTAGCATAGTTAGCTTATGCTTAGCTCCTCAAAATATGTCACTCTGTAAAATTACAATGTGTAACCATTTCCTAACTTGCATTCTTCACTTAAAACATGCCAGCTCATACCACAAAGACCTTTGGACCCCAACTCAAGATAAGTCATGGTGTAGGGATTGTGGTAGGACAGTGGCCTAGAGCCCTGGTTTTCTCCACAGATCAATTGAATCTCAGCATTACTATTTGAATAGCTTTTCCTACTGTTAACTACTTGGGGATAGGGACAGTTACATGTTGTTCATTATTATTTCCCAGCAAGGTTTCAGTTCCTCTGATATGTCTGTAGTACTGTTTCAGAGTCCAGGCAGAGTCCTAGCCTGCTAATGGCGCCCACGCAAATCGTTAGCTTTGTTGCAGCAGACCACTAAGGACTGATGTTCATCACTTTCTTACAGTTGTCTCATACAGAGGGTGCACAAAAAGTGTATACACATTTTAAGAAAGGAAAAAACTATTAAAATTACACTGATGGTCACCACTTTGAACACCTCTTGTAATTGTAGAAGTCAAACGTGATTTGTATTCATCCTTTGTTATCGGTATATATTAAGTATTACAATTTTAATAGAGTTTTTTCCTTTCTTAAAATGTGTATACGTTTTTCTGGCACCCTCTGTATAGTTCATGTAGTTCTCATTTAATTTTTTTAAATGATGGCAGATAAAAATTTATTCACTGCCTACAACACAAAATCCTGAGTCATAGATCTGTTATTTTCTGTTTTGAAAGCAGACCATTTCTATCTCATTTTTAGTGGTAAAAAAGAAGTATGGATGTTAAAAATCAATAGTAGTAATCCGTCATTCAGTGATCAGTACTTAAATTGCTTTAAGTAATTTCTTTGAATGAATTTTCAATGTATACTGATAGTTTTCTTCTTAATGTTTATTTTGCTGTTGTGTAGCTTACTATGCACCTTGCTTTGAGCTAAATATTTTGCATGCTTTATCTCACTACTAAGGAAACTGAAGTTCACAGAAAATAAGTTACAAAGCAGTAAGCAGCTGAACCAGAATTAAAACTCACGTCTTTCTCATTTTCCAAAATCTGTGCTAACTACCACCCAATACGCCTCACAGAAAACCCATTCGTTCTTGGAGTATAACATAATTTCTTTTAAAGACAAGCATAATCTCCATATTTTAAACAGAGAAAATATATGTTAATCTCACTTCTGGCAATACCATTATGCCAACCTAATAGGCTCTGTTAAGATGATGAAACAGGCTATGGAAATGGAAAATTCCTTCAACCACATATGTCTCCTAAGCTAGACCTAAGCTAGAGTTTACCACTGTACTTCCCACAGAATTGATGGCTTATGTTAAAATCATATAGTAAAATCCATCTTCCTTGACAAGAGGATTCAATTGCACAAATAAAACAATATATTTTAAAAATATTTTTAGAAAGAGTATATAATTATCATAAGCTTAACCATAATCAAATAACCTCACTTCTACATTCATATACAATACAGTTACGCTGCATAATTCCTGAAACAAACTCTACCGATGTTTAGTTACACTTTGAGGTTAGGGAATTGGCAGAAAAGGGCATTTAAATTATATTAACAGACCAAATAAACACATCAAATATTTTATTTAAAAAGCTATTAACAAAAAAAATCTATAAACCCACTCTCCTAATAGAATAATCTTTTGTGTGTGTGATTTTTTTCTTTTCCTTCAAATCTCAGAAAGTAATTAAATGATACTTTTAACACGTTTTTCTGTACAGAAAAGGTAATAGCATCTTTAGAAATACTAGCATGAAAACGTTTGAGAGGACAGTTGTGCTTAGATTGGTGTTCTCTCAGATTTGGCCTGTGTACACATTTGTATGTACAAACACACATGCATAAAACTGATGTCAATGCTGATAATAACTAAGTTAACTTAAAAGCTTTGTCATACATTTTTTAAAATATGCTTCTGGAAATAGAAGTTTTTACCTGTGTGGAATAAGTTTTGTTTTAATTTTGTTTTAAATCACTTAGCTAGAAGTGTGGATTTTCCAGCATATCCTCCATCTTCAAATTATATCCGTGGTTATAACCATGCTTGTGGCTATGTCTGTTCACCTCTGCAAGAGTAAGTGTCATCTGCATTTAACCATTTTTTTAGTTCAATTTGTGATTTAACTAAACGTTTCCTAATCCATCAGTAGAAATATGTACCAGCATATTCAATTGGACAAAAAAATTGCCCCAAAATGTGATCTTTAGAATAATTTTTTATAAGTATTTTCATCTTAAGTATAACCGGAAAAGATAATTCTCTATATATGATTGGAGGTTTCTGGAACTAGTCATACACACTGGTTAACCTTAACCTGGTGTTTTATGTTGTCTCCATTAGGGTCACTTCCATGAATTATTAAAGAATTTTCATGAATTAAAAATTTCCCTAGAAGTATAATACACTTACATTTATCAGCAATGAATGCTTTGTCTTGAATGAATTATTTCCAATAGACTAACTACTGAGAACAGATACCTGTGGAATGAGATATCCAATAGGTAAATTCAGATCAGGGAAGAGCTGGAGAAATCAGAGATGAGTGATTGCCTACAGGTGGCCAGCTTAGGGATAATAAAATGGTAACATACAATATACATCCCGTAAATGCATGTACCTTAATTCAATGTGTATCCTTTCACAAATTCCTTAAGTGTTAATTACTGCTAAATGATTTTATATTCAGTAAAAGATATTGGCTCATGAAAATAGATGTGAAAACTTTATATTGGTCTGACACAAGCCGTTCAATATGAGGAAGAAAATATTTATATGAAGGTAGTCAAAATAAAATTACATTTTAGACCTGTATTCCTAATGTTTTTGCTACCGAATTAGAGAACTAAAAGAAATTCACAATGATTTGCATTAAGGGACAGGATCATTAGTGCAGATGATGATGGCATGTGATCTAGGGCCAAGACTTTATTCTCCACAGCAGGAGAGACCAACAAGGGGAAGGATTCCTCCTCCAGGTCAGCTCGTAAAACAGGCTGGCAGGACGCTGTGGGAGGCTGCACAGCCCACAGTGTGCTTCACAGGCTCAGTCCCCCCCGCACCTTATCAGCTTGCCCTTTCCACTGCAAAACACATGGGACCACAGCTCTGATCTAGACTTTCCATCTAGGGTGGGAGCTCTGCCTAGCATCCTGCTGGAGAAAAGATGTCGTCTCATTCTTTGTCTCAGAAAAAGTCACTGACGAAAAGGTGGTTCTTCTGTATCTCCTCTTTCCTTGCAGCCTAGCATTTTGCCCAGCCAACATCTGTAAACCAGTCATATAGTAAACTTAAAAACAGCATCAGTAGTAAAGGTAAACACTGGAAAGGCTTTCTTAAGTGCGTAAAGCCCTCGTAAACTCAAATACACATTTATGACCATGCAAACTGCTAGCGAGTGTTCTCACTTCAGCCATGTGCAGCACCGTAAGAACAGCCTAAGCTCTGCAGAGAGGAGGGTGGGAGAACAGGGACACTCATGTGGTTTGCTGGAGCGGTGGTCGTGCCAGTCATTTTGTGGAACTGTATGGTACCTTGCATATTTTAATATTGACATTAAAATTTTTCATAGGATAAGTTAAGAAGGTGCAATGTCCGGCATACTCTAAATATTGACACTTGGTAGAAATTGTTATAGCGCCCTTCTAAAGCTATCCAGTAGACTCTAAATACCATAACAACTTGAGACCCACCATGACATTATCAATTTAAAAATATGTACAACCTTTAACAGTCACACAATAAAAAATAAAACTAGTTTTAGAAAAAATATCTCATTTTTGTAAAAACAAAAATGGATATGTGTGTATATGTGGGGTACATATATGGACAAACGTATGCTATCTGTCTACATACATAGACAATAGTCTGAAAAGATACAGTCAGAACTATAAGTAGTGATTATCTCTGGGGAACAGAACAAGTACAATAATTATGGAAATTGTGTATTTAAATTTTCATAAGCATACGTTACTTTTGTAACTTAGAAAAATCAATATGACAAAAAGGAAAAGTGGACTAAAGCTGAAGACTTTAAGATATAATCTGACTACTTAATATTTTTATGTAAAATGTTTGTTTATGAGTGAAAATCACTCCACCTTTTTATCCTTCCTTCCTTCAGTAACTGCGTATCCTATCATGAGCACTATGGAGGTACTCAACGGTGAATAAGACAAGACTCCTGCTTTCTATTAGCTTGTAAATTCAACAGACAAACCTAAATATTCTTTATATTTTTAAATCTTATATTTAAAATCTTCCTTTGTTTACAGGAACCCAGCACAGTCCAAACTTTTTTGTTTATATGTTTATATAAACATATGTTTATGTTTGTATATATGTTTTAAATATATAAGACATATATGTTTATGTTTGTATATATGTTTTAAATATATAAGATTTTTAAATCTTATATATTTAAAATCTTCCTTTGTTTACAGGAACCCAGCACATTCCAAACTAGTGATGTTTGTCCAGACAGATATGAGAGGAAAATTGTCCCCATCAATAACTGAAGCAACCATGCCTTCCAATTTAATAAGCTTCATCCTCAATGCAAAAGATGGAATAAAGACGTACAAAGCTGCCTCAGGACATGGACGTCATCACGGTGGTCATTCGTCATTCCTAAAAAAGAAATGAGGCCATTTAAAACAAGGCCATGTGAAATCGTGTGTGGCAGTTACTGCTTCTAAGTCAATATGCATAAATACTGCTAAACTATTCTGGGCAGTACTCTTGTACAAATTACTGAAGGTACTTTGTGAAAAGAAGACCCCGTAGTTGTATAAAAGAACAGCATTAAATGTAGTTCTTAATCCCATAGATGAATGATGTTAAATAACAAGTGTTCTTAATGCACTTTTATCTTTTGCTTTTTTCCGTGGAAAATTGTTCTGCAGAAGAATCAATACGAAAGCATGTATGGTCAGGTCAGCATTAATTAAAGATTAAAATATATTTTGAATTGTTTTTCCTTCACTTACTGCTTAGATTGATCATTGTAGGAAACATGAACGTAAAACTTGAAAAGAATTCCACTAGAATTATGACCAAAGATATCTAGAATTTAAAATTGAATGAGTCATGAATCATTTCTGGTTTCTGGCCAAAAGGCAGTAACCCATTCCCTGCAAGTCCTTCCTCTTAACTCAAGGACCCTGCACGTCACACAACAAAGCATAGGGAGACTCAGGCCTGGGTGGAAAAAAGGGAAACTTCCTGGGACCTTTGCGACCTGAGGAATGATGTAGCAGGGAGGCACTGCTTTATTGCCTCCATAGGTTCTGGACAGGGCTCTGCAGAAGCTCCACCCCGGAACCACCGACAGGCAGGAACAGCAAAAGCTTCCAGAAAAAGCCTGTTCCTCCTAGCCATGAGAGTGGCTGTTAACGAAAGGGTCGCCTACGAGAACAAATTCCTTTTGACAATACCCAGCCTACACCAGCTGAACAGCAACCTAAGAATTTCACCTACCGCACCATGCGGTTTCAGTGGGGCAAAGCAGAGGGGATCGGCCAGCCACCTCTTCCCTGTCCTGCAGAAGCAGGTGGTGGTACTCTGACACCCCCACACTGTGGTGTCCACAAGGTGGAGCAGGGAGCTAATCTTCCAACCTCTACCTGGCAGAAGCCGACAGCACTCCAATTACCTTCCAGGTGGTGCGGGCTGACCAAGCAGGGAGGTGCTTTTCTATCTTCCACGCAGCAGAGCAGGTGGCAGTGCTCTGATATCCCTGCTGGGGTACTACCAGTGGGGTCCCGTGGGAAACGGCGCTTCCACCTCACCTGGCAGCAACAAAACTTAACCAGTTGGTGCAAAGAAGGGTTCGTCTCCATCCAACTCCACTGCCCTCCCTTGATCCCTGGTGTCACCAAGGCCCAGCAGGGTGCTGAACCACCATCCCCACCCAGCACCAGTGGCTTCCCCTCTGCGTATGTTGAACGGTGGCCCCTAAAAGGGATGTCTTTGTCAAATCGCTGGAACCTTGAATGTGACCTTATTTGGAAAAAGGACCTTTGCAGATGTACGTCAAGGACCTCAAAATGAGATCCTGGATTACCTGGGTGGGTCCTAAATATCATCACAAGTGTCCTTATAAGAGAGGTACGTGGAGACACAGGTGGAGGAGAGAAGGCCACGTGAGGACAGAGGCAGAGACAGGAGTTCTCAGCCACAAACCAAGGAACATCTAGGGCCGCCAGAAGCCGGATGACACAAGGAAGCGTTCTTCCTTAGAACCTTCAGAGGGAGTGGGGCCCTGATGACACTTGATTTCAGACATCTGGCCCCGGAACTGGGAGAGAATAAATTTTATCTTTTACGCCACCAAATTTGTTACAGTAGCCATAGGAAACTAATATACCCTCTTTGGTATCTGAGCAGGGCTCAGTGGGAACCTGGGCCTCCACTCCCACCCGGCATCAACAAGGTGAAACAATGCAGTGGGGCAAGGGGCTAGTCAGCACCCCACTTCCCCGCCCCTCCCATGGTGTCATCAGGACCCAGTATCAGCCTGTAAGTCTAGAATGTTGTGATATATGTCAAGTGCGAATGCAGTTCCTCTCGATCCAGAGACCTATGAAATAAAAAGCCAAGTTAGCTGCCCCTGTCTCCGTGCACACACACTATACAATAATAAAAAAGAAACAAGATAACCACAATAAGCAGTCCCATCGGAAAGGGGGAAGCTTGCAAGCATATAGTCATAACAATTCCAATATCCCACGGGGCCTCCCGTTCTGGCAATGGGGAAATGTCCCCGGATTAAACCCCAATCCTGCTGTCTGGGGGCTGCTCCCTGCTTCACTGTTCTCCACAGCTTTCGGTTACACTGAGATGTCCTTCGCCCACCCCTTTCCTCTGTTCTCCCTGAAGCAACGACCCTTGTTTGCAGCTGAGTAACTGTCTCAGGCTACTTCCTACCCAAAGAAAGTCAAGAACCCAGAGCAGGCATTTTTATAGCTTTACTCATCTTTTAGTCAGGCAGTTTGTGGTTTTGCTAGTATGTTTCTTTAAAACTTTGAGCTTCCTGTATCTGGTTATGGTCCATTACACACTCCAAAGCCATACCTATAATTGGTATCAACATACACTTCTCTAGATTTTTTTAGTGCTACTTTTGGGTCAGGCTTCTGTGGGACCAAACCCTTAGGCGTTTGTCCACTTGAGATCTACTCAGCACTATCTTATCTCGAAGTTTTATCAAAGTATCTGATAGTCACAAGCTTGATGTCTGAGATGTGCTCATGTCTTACTTTGACACTTTCCTAGCTGGGGTGGCTGGAGATAAGACAACAGTTTTACTTTCTAATTTAGTAGCTCTGGCTCTCCATATATTGGGTTGTCAGAAAAGTCATGATGTATTTTATTATGTTTTTCGTTGCAAAACTACATCATGACTTTTCTGACAACCCAACATATTACCTTTAACTTCTGCTTTCAACTCAACCAACTTTTTTTTTTAAGCTCAACTTTCTTGTAGTACTTCAGCCTATGCCGCTAAAAGCCACCAGGTGGCGCTCTCTACATTTAGCCTGGAGCGACCCTTGCCCAAAGCCAAAGTTCATGTGTAGTATAGTTTCCCAAGGTACCACTGGCAGCTGTTTTATCAAATGTTTCATAGCAGCTTCTTAATAAAACAGTTTCCTCACCATGATTCCATCCTCTGCTAACAGTTTTCTCAACTCCTTACTGCTCAAACGCCAATACCATGTATTTTAGGTTCTTTGTTGTATAGGTCCCCACTTACAGGTACCGACTTTTGTTAAGTTATCTATATCACAAAAATAATGCCACAAAACAACCACACATTTTTTTCTTGACTCAAAAAGAATAGATATATATATTCATCATAAAGTTATCAAGCATCTACTCTCTCAATATTCGTATTAACTGTCAATCTCTTTCCCTACTCAGTATTAGAAGTGTCAATAATTGTTTTCTACATAAAATAACTTTCACAATCATCAATTACTGTAACATTTTATTTTGCGATAATAATTACAAATTTATACTTTGATGAATGGAATTATTTGAGAAAGCTCATGAGATTTTATTTGGTTTCATCTAGAATGCTTACCTCTTTTTCAAAGTGAATACTCAGATGCTAATAATAAATCTAAGTGTAATGCCTTATTTTTATGACTGGAATCACTAACACTGATTAGATATGATGGTAGCCTACATAATCACGTGATAATTTCATACACAATTTCAGTGATGCCATAAATGTTGAATTAATTGATTATTCCAGCCACCCAAAAACCAAATAACTGAATTTGGCTGAATATCAAGGCTAAAGCCAAACTTTGGTGTATCCCTAAATATTCAGATGTTAAGAGTGTAAACCTCCCAATTCCTTTCAGTGCTAGAGTGTTACATCAAAGAGTTGCTAACATTGAATTAGAATACAATAGCCTGCCTAAGTCGAAAGATGAAATATTCTACTATCAACATCTCGAATTTTTCTATCCTAGTATATCTATATCCACATTACTCTAGATAAATCAAATGCAGGGTGAATTTTATTACAGCACAAGTTTGTAATATGAGACAAAAAGAAATTGCCACTATGGCACAAATATTCTGTAGTAACCACTTTTTAAAAATCCAATAGTAATATATATATATGCATATGCGCGCGTGCGCACGCACACACACACACACACACACACACACACACATATTTGACAGATTCTGTGTACTGGCTTGCTTACTTCCATTCTACCTTGCTTTTAATTAGAGAGGATGGAAAGCTGAGAAAAACATGCATCCCAGGGGTTGATTGCACCTAGTCTTCTGGCCACAAATTAGGTTACACCCACTGGATAAAGTCTTGTGAGTTGTGGGGCAGAGGCCATTTTTCCTATTTGTTTGTTGTTTCTGCTAGCTATCAAGGACAAGGACAAGTGAGGCTTTTTCTCTGTCCCAGTGTCCACTTGCCAGATTCTCATGTGCCAAGAGAATCGGCGACAGAGGGAGCAGTCTTCTTGATTCCTGGTTCCTGGTTACTGGGTGACAGTTGTGGGTAACTGTTCTCCAGTCTTCTAGATGTCAAGAAGTGGCAGTGGTGACAGCATATGGATTCCACCTTCTTGAATTCAGTGTCACCAATGGCTTCAAAAGAGACAGCTTACCTGGTGGACTGGTTCTATCTCGTTCTCAGATTTGTTTCTGGAGTCCAAGTCTAGAACCCACACCTTCAAGTTCCCCCATGATTTTGTACCATTTAATTCCCTATATCATATCTCTTCTTGCTTAAAATATCTACAGAAGTTCCATTTTCCTGACAGAAACATTTGAAAGTTCATAGTTTTATCAAAGGATTTTAGCACCTCGATATATCAAAAGCAGGACTCTGTTTGAGAACTAAAAGTGAAACGTTATTGTTACCATGAATCAACCTTATAGAACTAGGTTATATTGGGTTGTCAGAAAAGTCATAACATTATTTCTTCTATGTTTTTCGTTGCAAAGCTGCATGACTTTTCCGACAACGCAATATTTCAATCTAAGTTTGTAGACAGAAGATGAAAACTTGGACCCATACTAGGTAACTGGGATGAGACAGACCAGGAACCTTGAAGAACTATTCTCTCAGTAAAATGAACTAGAAAAAATAATCCAGTTACAAAATTGATGGGGTGCGGGGAGGGGATCAGAGTATACCACGAGAATCCATGTCAACAGTCTGCCCAGACCTAGGGTTAATTTTCACGATGACTAATGAAAATGGTCCAAGCATGTGGTTCCCCGGAGTACGGGCAGAATCAAAGGCAAATATTTTCTGCAGAGATACATTGTATCCAGACCTTACAGGAGTCCCACAATAAAGCCCAGCAAATGCGAACCCACACTCCAAAATCACAGGACACGTGAGGAAAAAGGCCAGCGTGAATAAGTTTCCAGCAGAAATAATAAGACAGAGAATTCAAACATTTGTATTACCTAATACAAAATTAAAAT